ATTTGATGATTGGAGACAGTGTGTACAAACACAAGGATATTCACAAAGCGACATGGATTTCACTAGACATCAGGACACACTGAAAATCAGATAGACTTTATCCTAATGGGAAGAAAGTGGAAGCACAGGCAGCCTACTGGACACAAGATCAGATGAAGAAGAGGAGCAGATGTAGGTTCAGACCACTCACAACCTAGTGCAAGGAACCTTCCAAACCAAGTTGAAAGTCTTCAAAAAAGTTGGTGATAGACCACAGTTCAAGTCCAACAGCCAGAACTGAAACTGAAGGATGAAACTAAAAAGGACATCTTCACGTCAGTCGTTAGGACAAAATACGAGGTATTGAGCAACATCCCTGAAGGAACCTGGGTGGAAGAAGACTGAAACGTTTTGAAAGAGATATGGAAAGAAACCTGCATAACCTTATTAGGAAGGAAGAAGAAAGAAGATAATGAATGGATCTCGACGGACACATGGAATCTGATAGAGGAGAGGAAGATGGTGAAGCAAATGATGAACCAGTGCAAGGATGCACAACGAAAAGAAGAACTGAGTACAACCTATAAAACACTGGACAAGAAAGTGAAGAAGAATGCGCGTAAAAGACAAAAGACACTTCTACGAAACACTGGAAAGTGAAGCAGAACAGGCTGCTGGTAGGAGAGACCTGACAATATTGTATCAAATAACCAGTTTATTATCAGCACATCACAGATGAAATCAACGAAAGATAGTAAAGGAAACTTGGTTACCAACGAGAAGAAACAAAGGAAACAATGGGCTGACCACTTCAAAAAACTCTTGAATCGACCACCACTACCACCACCACATGCAACTCGTCCAGAAATACCACCAGCAACCACAGAACTACCAGTGAACACAATCCCTCAGACAAAAGCAGAAGTGAAGTCCTGAACGCTATAAAGTTTCTGAAATCCGGGCAAAGCAGCAGAACCAGATGGAACTCCGCCAGAAGCACTGAAAACGGATGCAAAGACATCAGAAGCGGACATGTTGACACCACTGTTGAAGAAGGTTTGGAAGGAAGAAAAGGCAACTGCCTATGGATTGGAAGAAGAGATAAATTGTCAAACTCCCAAAGAAGCAAGACCTAGGCCTTTGCTGTCCTCATCAAGCAAAATATAAAGCCGCATCATCCTGGAGAAATAAAAGGTGCTCTGGATTCAAAATTACGATCAGAACAGGCTGGTGTGCTTAAGCTTCCCTGGCGTCCCTAGTGAGAAATACGGCTTCAGTAGCACGTCTCCGTTTCACTCTGCACTTCTCTACAGTCTTCTCAACCTCCCTACACCACTACCCACAACCTATCATTTCCTCTTCACATCATCTCCTCAATATCACTCTCGCTTCGGATGTCCAACTCGTCGTTTCCCATTTAACTTCCACTCGAGAGCCTGGTCTGGTGTGTGATGTCCTCAATCGGCCTTCTCAGTGTGTGCCCAATCCACCTCCATCTACACTTTCGCCTGCATATTTGTTGGGTGATAGGTTCTCGATTGGTTCGTTGCCACCCAGCCAGAGTTCCTTGTTGATTATTCCTATTATTCTGGCCATCCATCTGATCTCCATCTTCAGTATGGAGTGAGCGTAGGTGGCAGCTGTTGATCAGTGCCTGTAGTTTGTTTCTGAACCATATGGAAGCACTGACTTGACTGGATTGGTGTTGAAAATCTGGATGTTGTTCACGCTTTGTGCTGTGCATGTGTCGCCACCTGTAGTTGAGAGGGTTCTGTCTAAGCAGGTCGGTAGGTGAAAGAGACAACTTCGTTTAGATTTCTCCCGTTGGTGGTGACTGATGCTTGTTGTTAATGCTGTTGTTGGTTGGGTACCTTCATCACCTCTGTCTTCTCTAATTTCGTGAAGGGAGTCCCGTCTTCCTTCATGCCCTATCTCTTCTTTCAACTTGTTAGTTTTCACCTGTAGATCTTCGAGTTTGTGTGACAAGACATTTGACATAAATCATCATCTACGAAGTCCAAATCTTCTTCTAGGGTCTTTTCATCGGTTAAACCGTCTATGCCCATCTTCTTGCTCCTCAGGGTTTGCTGCATGATCCAGTCCAGACGACCACAATCAGAAAGATAATGGGTGGCAGCCATGTCTTACTCCTGTCTTCACTTCAAAGGCATCACTGAGCTTTCCATTGTGAATGTTTTGGCATGTGGCGTCTTCATGTAGCTGTTGTGGAATGTGGCTGATAAAGGTTTGTGTTACTACGTATTGTTGAAACGGATGTTAAATTACTTCCTGGTCGACGTTGTCGAGAGCCTTTTCAAAGTCGAAGAAGTTGAGGTAGAGATCCAGTTGACTTCCATTCTATGCTCTGTTCTATGATGACGCGCAGCATTGCAATTTGATCCGCACATTATTTGTTCATGTGCAGATTCATTTAGCTAATATTTATCACTATTTATCACAAAAATGGATTCAGTTTTCTGATGTGATGAGAGTATTAGAATTCTTATACAGAATGCCATTATTCTGTCTTTGAGTAAAACACTTGAGTGAATAGTTCAGTTAGCCTTCAACTACTATTCAATTGTTTGCAATCCACTTGAATCTGACGATAAAATTGGTACTGTACTTGTAAATCTTCCAGAAATCGAGAACTCTGCGGGTAATCCAAAATATGCTGAGGCATCAGTCTCACACCAGAAGTACTTCAAAATAGTCACTGTGGATTATTAATAAGATTGACTTAAGTCTATGTGAACCAGATGTTATCCTCTTCGGTTAGTTTCAATAGCTGATTATCTCACTTATAGAGCAGAAAAATCCTCCTTTATTAACCATAAGCGGATGACTTCGACAAATAGTTTTTTTTAAGATTCTACACTTTATAAACATTAGACGATTTACTGATGGTAGATAAGAATGAATTTATTAAGACCGGATAGCCTATATCTCTGACCGCGGATATATCAACCAAATCTTCATCCTCAACTATATCTTAAACGAAGGCATACATACCAGCGTCCTAAACTAGCTGCAGTGTCTTTCTAAGAAAGGTATGTTAGACAATTACATCAAATTACTGAATAATTTATATACATTCATAATCCCCATTGTGATATCGAAACAAGGTATTCAGCGAAGAGAACTCTTTTCAAAGAATTTATTCTCAACCTGATATACTACTACTATTATTATTACTACTACTACTACTAATAATAATAATAATAATAATAGTAATAATAATAATAATGATATTAATGTTGCTATTTGATAATATGTAGAGGTTGAGTGGTAACGAATAGGGTTACGTAAGATTTTTAAATCTTTTATAAGGTGCATAAAGATTAAAAAGGTATGAAAACGTGGTAGAGTTAATAAGTAATCAAGAAATTAGGTAATATGAATGAGATAACATGTGAATTGGAATAAATTGATGATATTTTGTTAAAAGAGGTGATTACTCGATAGTGTCGACCAAGAAGTAATCTGGCAACTGCTTCAATGCTACACTTTTAGTGCCACGAACCTTTATCAGCCTCATTCCACAACAGCTATGTGCTATGTGAAGACGCTGCAAGCCAAGTGATTCACAACACAATGGAAAGCTCAGTGATGACTTTGAAGTGAAGATAGGAGTAAGACAAGGTTACCGCCTAGTATCACCGATGATCTTCTTGATTGTGGTCAACTCAAATGAACTGGGCCATGCAACAGAAAACTTCAGGGACGAGAAGATAGGCATGCGGTGGCTGAACCGATGAAAATACCTCAGAGAAAGATTTAGATTTCGCCGATGATGATTAACCTCTGTCTGAAGCCACAAAAACTTGAAGATCTACAGGGTAAAACCAACAAGTTGACAGAAGAGGCAGGGCAGAGAAGGCGGGATTTATAGTGAATGTAGAGAAAATGGAGAGGATGGAGATACTCAACCAACAACAAGCACCAATCAATATCAACGACAGGAATCTAAACGAAGTTGTTTCTTTCACCTAACTACCTACCTGACTAGGCAGTATCCTCTCAACTACAGGTGGCGGCGGCTGCACACATAGGAATGTGAAAGCCAGTCACGATCGGAAATACAGCAAGGCAAGACAGGCCTTCATTCACCGATCCGAAATCAGCATAAAGATCTTTGGACTCCACTGCACTACACTCAGCAGAAAGCGTGAACAACATCCGGATTTTCAACACTAATTCGACCAAGTTCAAGTCAGTGCTTCAATGTGATGGTTGAGAGACTTGGCGCATTACGAAAAGCATTTCCAACAAATTGCACACATATATCATCTGCAGCTGCCGCCTACACTCACTCAATACTGAAGATGAAGATGAGATGGCCAGAAAGAATAAGCAACAAGAAACTATGGCCTAGCAATGCACTAACCAACCAAGAACCTATCATCCAACAAGAAAGTTGAGATGGATTGCATTGGAAATACACAGAGAGGACCATTCGGGGACATCATGTGTCAGGCCGGGCCGTCGAGTCGAACCTGCATGGGAAACGACAAGTTGGGTGTAGGAGGGTGACATGGAAGAGATGGTGTGAGGAAGAAATGAAAGGTTATGGGGAATCGTGGAGCCAGTTTAAAAAGACTGCAGAGAAGTGCAGAGTGAACTGGTGTCGTGCTACTGACGCCCTATGTTCTACTAGGAATTCAAGGGACAAATAAAAATCTAACTAGCTATTTCCTGTTGCTTGTTAATAGTTAGTAGCTGTTAGCCTCTTAGCCTAATGGATTTTAGTTACCCAACTGATGGTAGGATAGCCTATGTAGCAACCAAATTATTGATAAGTCTGTTATAGATATGACTGTTATAAGCTATTTGGCTTCAATATCTCAAGAATTATGTGTTTATTCAGAAGAAATGGTTTGTATGATCGCTTGTTTGCAAAAAGTATTTCATATTGCTGCATAAATAACAGTGGACGAAAAAGTTTATGGGTATATATGTGGTTATACACTATATCTTCATGTATGTCAATTTATAAATACTATCTAACTTTTTCTCTCTAGACTAATCAACTTTGGCCTTCAAATAAATGTGATTACCATTCAGAATGTCCTTGTTCATATTTGAAAACTTCTTACTATACAAAACCATTAATGCTACCAATGAGAGGTAGATGTCAATACAAAGAAAATGATTATAATTCAAATTATTCCAGGACATTTTTCCCTTCTTATAATAAATCACGTAGTTCTTCTGTGAATACACGTCCAACATCCAGTTGTAAAGATAACAATTGTCGTCCACCATTTCTACCATATTCTCCTTTTCCAGTCTATTCAAATGAATCCACATTTCGTTATGATACTAATAATATAAAGTACTCAAGTAAGTAGTGAACACGATTTGTACAGAATAATTAAATTGCATAATAATTCATATATTAATATTATCTGCATGATTAGTTCTTTAAAATAACTTTCAGTGCTTACAAAACTTTGTGTTATCATTGAAGAGTAACAGTAATGTCAAAGAAATAAGCGCAAGTAGATTATTATTATTTTTCCCTTGGGTTCCTAATGGAACATACAGCTTCAGTAGCACGTCTCCGTTTCACTCTGCACTTCTCTGCAGTCTTCTCAATCTCCCTACACCACTACCCACAACCTTTCATTTCCTCCTCACATCATCTCCTCAATATCACTCTCACTTCGGATGTCCAACTCGTCGTTTCCCATTTAACTTCCACTCGAGAGCCTGGTCTGGTGTGTGATGTCCTCAATCGGCCTTCTCAGTGTGTGCCCAATCCACCTTCCATCTACACTTTCGCCTGCATATTTGTTGGGTGATAGGTTCTCGGTTAGTTCGTTGCCACCCAGCCAGAGTTCCTTGTTGATTATTCCTATTATTCTGGCCATCCATCTGATCTCCATCTTCAGTATGGAGTGAGCGTAGGTGGCAGCTGTTGATCAGTGCCTGTAGTTTGTTTCTGAACCATATGGAAGCACTGACTTGACTGGATTGGTGTTGAAAATCTGGATGTTGTTCACGCTTTGTGCTGTGTGCAGTAGATCTCCACAGTGATTTCAGATTAATGAATGAAGGCCTGTTTTGTCTTGCTGTCTTTTCGATTCTGGCTGGCTTTGACATCCTCATCTGTGCATGTGTCGCCACCTGTAGTTGAGAGGATTCTGTCTAAGCAGGTCGGCAGGTGAAAGAGACAACTTCGTTTAGATTTCTCCCGTTGGTGGTGATTGATGCTTGTTGTTGATGCTGTTGTTGGTTGGGTACCTTCATCACCTCTGTCTTCTCTAATTTCGTGAAGGGAGTCCCGTCTTCCTTCATGCCCTATCTCTTCTTTCAACTTGTTAGTTTTCACCTGTAGATCTTCGAGTTTGTGTGACACTCTTTTGCTGTTGCTTGATCCTAATGAAAATGTACTCATCTATTCTTGACTGTTATAATCAGTCTACAATGACAAAGATTACGAGAAAGTGGACTTGATGAATCGACAACAGAGTGTTTTCTTCATGCTGTCAGTATTATAGGTGAAGTGATTAAGGTACTTGCTATGAAGGAGATGGTTATGCACTGTTATTGTTAACTATATTCAATTAATGTATGTGGCACTATATTGCTAGTAAAGCTTTATAAATTTATTTGCAAAATTGAGGTTTTGTAGAGTTTTTGTGAATTATTCTATAGAGATAAGTGGATCAAAAGCTTCTCAATGGTTCAGTTGTTGTCACATTTATTAGTAACATTAAGCTTGATTGCATATACGCTGTAGTAAACAGCGAAGACGGGACTTCAAGTGAACGTAGAGAAGACAGAGGTGATGAAGATACCCTACCAACGCCACCTCCAACACCACCACCACCACCAACAACAACAACAAGCTGCAATCACCATCAACGGGAAACACCTAAAGGAAGTAGTCTCTTTCACCCACCCTGCAAGCAGCATCGTTTCAACTACAGGCAGTGGCGGTGTCACAGGCACACACGAGGACGTCAAGGCCAGTCAGGATCGGAAAAGCAATACAGGCGTTCATTAACCTGAAACCAGTGTGGAGATCTACTGCACTGCACTGTACTCAGCAGAAAGCGTGAACAACATCCGGATTTTCAACACTAATGTCAGTCAAGTAAGCCAGTGCTTCGATGTGATGGATGGTTGAGAGACTTGGCATGTTATGAAAAGCGTTTCCAGAAAACTACAGATATTCATCAACAACTGCCGCCTACTCTGGCTCAGTACTGAAGATCGGATGGATGGCCAGAAAGAATCAGCAAGAAGGAACTTACTCTGATAACAAACCAACCAAGAACCTATCGGTCATCAAATATGCCTGAGGAAGTCGATATGGATTAAGCATGCACTGAAAAGACAATTGGGGGACATCACGCTCCAGTTGCTCGAGTGGAACCCAGATGGGAAACGGTGAGTTAGGCGTCGGAGGCGAGGGTGAAATGGAGGAGATTGTGTGAGGAAGAAATGAGAGCTTGTGAGCATTGATGGAGCTAAGTTTAAAAGATTGCAGAGAAGTGCAGAGTGGAATGGGGGCATGCTACTGAAACCGTGTATCCCACTAGGAACCCAAGGGACAAATAATAATAATAATAATGATATGCTGTAGTGATTCATGTATTATTATTCTGTATTTGTTACTTGTTTGTGAGAGAAAAATCTAAAACTAATCGAGTAATTGCTTATGAAGTTAACTATTAAAATATGTTTCAAGGTAGATAGATGTGTAAACCATTTGTAATGAAAACGAATATACTAACTAAAAGCTCACTTTTCTTTTTAGTCCGTTAATTATAATTGTCCTGTATAGTGAAAAAACAGTACTATTTACTAGAAAACATTTCGAACAAAATTTTTTCTTCATATTGATTAATTGGATGAATACACGATTGAATACAATCACTCAATACAATGGGATGGAGTAACAGGATTAGAAACTAACTAAATTGGATTCAGGTATAGATTGATAATTGAGTTTGTGTTTATCGAACCAACACGAAATACTTACAATAGAAATAGTTTTGAAACAATTAGTCTCTTTAATAAATCTTGATAAGAAGTTGTAGATGATCTGAAAAGTGTTTAATGTATTTGTGCTATACATTTCGAACAATCTGATGACTTTTCAAGTCAATTTATATATCGTAAAAGGAAAAAATGAAATCAGTATATCAATTTATAGAAAGCCAATTTGGATAGGATAGTACTTAAGTTTCGAAAGCTTTTGTTCTATGAAATATAAGAAAAGCTTAGTAAGATGTTTATTCAACAGGATTCAACATATTTGTACATCTGAGAAAATGGATAATGAGAGCAAATTTCTAACAGATACACTTATAGAAAACGGATATCCATTACAGTTTGTGAATCATTGTAGACAACGGTTAACCTCAAAGCGTATAATTTTTTCGGCTCCGAAGAAGGATGTATCTCTGAAGGTACCATACAGAGGAGAAACGTGTAGTATGATATTAAAATAGAGATTAAAATCTGTTATCAGTAAAATATACTATGCAGTTCAGCTTATCATTGTTGAGACAATAAAACATTTGCTTCACCACAAACCTCAACCTTGTATAAATGATTATATCACATCCCCCCTGTGTTTAACAATTTACATACACTTGGGACGAGTGATCGTGATATGCGGACTAGGGTGGGTGAACATATACCAAAATGGTTTGATAAACAGGTTAACACACAAATTCCAATAAGTCCAAGTGACTGATATCCATTTGTGTCTATAGCAAAACATCTTCATGGAAATGAATCATAAGGTGAATATGAAAGCAGTATTCAAGATATAGTATAGGAACAGTCAGGGGAGCATACTGAAATTTGTTGAAACGTTAACCATTCGTAAACTTTAGCTGGCATTGTGTGTACACAAACAATTTACTATTTCACTTAAGTTGTTATTCATATCAGTTGGAGGAACAAAGGAAACCTGGGAGCACTGGACAGCTGTTTCGTCCTAGTATGGGACTCCTCAGCAGTGCGCACCCACAACACCACCAGCAGGGATCGAACCCGCGACCTTCAGGTTCTGCTGCCCATCGCGTTACCATTGAGCCACTGGGTCAGAATCCAATGCTCCATATTTCCAACTTCTGTTAGCTCACGATATTTCACTTAATTTACCTTAGCAATCCTTATCTGATTATATTACCAAGACTAGTATTACAACCTTTTCATATTCATTATTATATTTTACCTTTCATTTTCATATATAAATTGACTTGTGACAAGTAATTGTGCTATCAGATTGTACGAAATGTATTGCAGAAGTGATTCTACACCTATTTCAGATATATGGGAAATTCTACTATCCTTGTCATCACAAAGAATGAGAGAAAATTAGGAATATATAAACTCTGTCTCAAAGTTGTGGAGTGGTATGAGTATGGATAATAAATCATGTCGGAAATGTTATCCAGTAAATGATACTATTCCTTCACTGTGTGTGTGTGACATTGTTAATAAACAGACTAAAATGGAATTATACCCTACCACAATGCTCAAATTTCACTCTAATATTAAAAGTTCAACTATTCTGTGAAGAAGAAATTAGTCCCAAAAAGTCGGATATCTACAAATTTACCGTTCAAACATTTGTCTAACAGACTGTACATAATTCATTCAAAAGTTGAAGAAGATAACTAACTCAACTTTTATCTTTGCACTCTTACTGGTGGATAGAGTACTTCATCATCAGCATCATCATCATCAATATCAACATAGGACCAGTCCCACTTGCCACACCTTATATCAGTACATCAAGTAGAAAGGTAGTGAGGTGAAAGATGAAGATAAGAAAATTCAGTCAAAAGAAATATAAAGTACTCAAAGAGAGAAAGAAAGAATAAGAAAATGGTGAGATTCGGTATATCATCGTTAAGATGAGGATAATGTGTGTGGGGATACATCTGCGCCACTGACATCCGTTCTGACCCACGTGAACACCTAGTCTCCAATCACTGGTTAATCTTGTTGCACGGACTCCAACCACCTAGTCTGCATCGCCCCACATGGCTAAAACCAACAGTTAGAGACTTCATGCATTGGTGCCATGTTTTAGTCTAGCCTTTTTCCAGCCTGGACCTACTTCGGCCAACATTGTGTGATGAGGCAATCGGTTACTAGACATACGTAGTACGTGTCCCAACCATCTCAATAGATGAAGGTTCATAGCCTCGTCAACTGATTTACCTCTTCTCCCTCTCTAAAACTCTACTCCTGACTTCTGTATTACTTACATGGTGACACCACGGATACAACCTACACTACGAAGGTAACGGTGGTCAAACACCTGAAGCCTTCCCATATCTTTCACCTTAAATGGTAAATGGTCATACTTAAAATTAACAAAATGTTATAGAAATTAACTAGTATAAAAAGCCTCTAGCTATAGTTACAGGCAGCATTCTAAAAAATTTTCATATTATAATATTTTGTAATGATAAAATTATTCATAAAGTATATACTTTCCAAACTGAATATACAACTACTGCTCACATATTACCTAACAATTCATACTCTTATTGCTGAAGAGTATGAATGAAAGGAGAGAAGTTCTATTTAAGCCTTCCAATAAATGATTGATATTATAACATCCTAATGAGATATTGGGTACTGACTTCATGTTGGATTACTCAATAGGATATTGTTTCATAAAGATGCTAGAAATAAACTCATCAAGATATTGATATATCAATGGATGAATAAGTTTACACATACAAATAGATTATATGTTACTTTACAGTGAATGAAAATAGAAGAAAGTGTGAAATAATCAGAAATTCAATAATCATTTCTGTCTAAATGAAGATTACAACTGATATTCATAAAGTAGAGGTTAAACAGGAAGTCTCCATATATTATAGATGAATTAATAGGATGCAGTTAATATAGATAATTAGATTATATTAATAATTTGTTGGTTATATCATCACTAAGGTTTATAAATATCTTGATGTAAGTATACACAACTGATTTTATCATCAAATACATTGAATATTCCCATTTAGACATTTTGAAGCAAGACTGGTTGAGTCAGCGAAGAATGTATATTCCTTTTCAATTAGGTCTTCATCTTGGGCTCTAAACTAATATGTATAATTTTACAATTTAATCAAATTACCAATCATGTGGTGATGTTGCGGAAATAATCATGTAAATAATCAATAGAGTTACTAAAATAGGAAATATGAAACAAGCTATTCTCAGGTAAATCGAGTGAATTTTGATAAGTATTCAGTCATCCACAATGAGCGATTACGTAATAACAAGAAAGTAAATGAATAATGATAGAAACAAGGGGAAGGGGAAGAGGTGTAACAAAGTAAACCAAGAAGTTACATCATGTTGACAGCAACGGTAATGAAAGTGATTGAACAAACTTCTTATGGATACAAAGGCTAGGTTTGTAAAGGTGGATTGCCAATCGCCTCTGCTATGTGAAGTAACCGAGTGCTAATCCATGTGGTAAATTAATTGGAATCTGATGGATGATTTTGCAAACAAAGCTGTCTACTATCACCCTTGGTATTCCTGATTGTAGTGACCTGAATCATGCAATAAACAGTGAGGAGCAAGAAAAGGGGGATACGCTGGACCGCGGAAAAGAACCTAGGAGATTTGGATTTCGTCAGTGATGACCTATGTCTAGTGTCGCAAAAAACTTGAAGATCTACAGGCGAAAATTAACAAGTTGACAGAAGAAGCATGGCAGCGAAGACGGGACTTCAAGTGAACGTAGAGAAGACAGAGGTGATGAAGATACCCTACCAACGCAACCTCCAACACCACCACCACCACCAACAACAACAACAACAACAACAACAAGCTGCAATCACCATCAACAGGAAACACCTAAAGGAAGTAGCCTCTCTCACCTATCCAGGCAAGTAGCATCGTTTCAACTACAGGCAGTGGCGGTGTCACAGGCACACACGAGGACGTCAAAGCCAGTCAGGTTCGGAAAAGCAATACAGGCGTTCATTAACCTGAAACCAGTGTGGAGATCTACTGCACTGCACTGTACTCAGCAGAAAGCGTGAACAACATCCGGATTTTCAACACTAATGTCAGTCAAGTAAGCCAGTGCTTCGATGTGATGGATGGTTGAGAGACTTGGCATGTTATGAAAAACACTTTCAACAAACTACAGATATTCATCAACAACTGCCGCCTACTCTGGCTCAGTACTGAAGATGGGATGGATGGCCAGAATGAATGATCAAGAAGGAAGGCTGACTGTCTGGCAACGAATCAACTAAGAGCCTATTACGCAAGAAATATGCAGAAGGAGAAAGTGGATATGGATTAGGCATGCACTGAGAATGCCTACTGGGGTTATCACGCTCCAGTTGCTCGAGTGGAACCAGATGGGAGGCGACGAGTTGGGCGTCTGAGCGTGACATGGAGATCGTGCGAGGAAGGAATAAGAACTTGTAGGTTGTACTGGAACAAGGTTGAAAAGATTGCAGGGAAGAGAGTGTACTGGGGACGTGCTACTGAAGCCCTGCATACCATTAGGAACCCAAGGGTCAAATGATGATGATGATGGATGATTTTGAAGGTTTTTCTAGTAACCATTTTATATCCTATGTCAACTAAGTTTGCAAGTATGGAGCTATTTGTAGTTCTAATTTGTCAATACATTCTTAGTGGGAGATGAGAACTATTAGTCATTCAGAGATGATATTTACACTGATAATATAAAACAACAGTTGGTCAACCTGTTAAAAATCATTGAACATTGAAAGTGTAGATCACAAAAACTTTAAATATGCTCATTACGATAATATGAGACTTCTTGAACAGATTTTCAAAGTTGCCAATAACTTGTAAAGTAGGTAAGATAATAAAGTGTTAATTAATTTGTGTTTTATTCAAACTGATAATTAATCATCTACAATAATTTAATTTGATTTGTTTAAATTAGATCCATCCAATAATAACTATACAAGAAGCAATTACAATAAAGATAATATATATTCTGATATATCTAATGATTACAATGTATACTCTACATCACCATGGAGAAAAAATTATCTATCAACATATAATATTTATTAGAAATTGAATATGTTTACATTAAAAAAAAAATAAACAAACAAATAAACACAAAGATATCCCAAAATATGAATCCTTTTTTTTTGCTGTCTGTTTCTTTCTTATTCTATACATAAAATATCAAAGCAATTAATTATCATTATTATTACTATTATTACCATTATCATTATGATTGTTATTATAGACTGTATGTAATTCTTAGCAAATCAATCAGTTTCAGTCATTAATGCATTAAATGATATTTCTAATTTACGATTTATTACTAATTACCTCATTCTGTATATTTTTTTTTTCAACCAATCAGAATTGCAGGGGAGAAAAAAAAAATCTATCTTCATGATAATATTTCTCATTTTATTTAACAAATAGCTTTGTCTCTTTATTATTACTATAGATTAGTAATATATAGTAAAGAATAAAAAGGATATACAATTATTTTTATAATTTTTATTTATTCAAACTAAAAGTATATTTATTCTTTTTTTGTTTTTGTTTTGGTACAATTAAACAAAATCTAATATTTATTACATAAATTTAATTGTTCTCCTTCTATGAATGAATTATCTACAATATTGTATACATTGTTAGATTATATAAGGGGGGGGGGGGAAAGAACCAAAGTGCATAGATGATTGAGTAAACGTAGAATAAGGGATAATGTTAACTTGTTAGAAATAAGTGAATAAATCTACAATTTTTTCATCACTGTTTAATACTTTGATTAGTAAAGAAAGATAGAGAAAGGAATAAAATATGATCAATTTAGAGATATTATATACTTAAAGAAAAGGGATAATTTATTCATATATGAAATAGAATTGGATTGTATTGAATAGATCAGTTTGAAAAAAGAAAACGGCCTAAATCCAAAGTGAATTCATTCAATCATCAATTATCAGGACTATTATGATTGTTTTTTGTTTTTTTTTGTGGGTAAAACATTATCATTTAAGCTAATGCTTAAATATTAATCTAATTATATATATATATATATATATATATATGTATATATATATATATATATATATATATGTATACATTCTAACATGTAAACATATATCCATACTTATAAACAGACAAGCATATAACAGAGAAGACAATATTATACATACATATGTATATATTCATTCATACAACAATTAAAATTATTGTATACATTAGGAAATTATAGATATATTCTTCATTTCATTCCTTATTTTGAACCAAGTGAACTTTATTAGAAAAAAACTGTTCAATCAGTCAGTGAAAGAATGAAATAATAGTTGAGCAGCCTAATCTTGTCATATTACTTGTCAACCAATGTAGCAGTAGTAGGAGGAGGAGAAGTAGAAAATGGACCCAATCTTTCAATTGATTCATAGATAATTAATCTGTGATAAAATAATGAGAAAATGACAAGTTTATGAATAAGCATATATTAAATAAAAATACTAATATAACAGAAAAATTGTAAACGAAATAATTGTCATTGCTTATTGCCATACACATTCAAAATAACCAGATCAACTACCTGAATCGAGGTGGATAAAGTGTATTTCTGGTTAGGGATAACAGCGTAATAATCTTAGGAATTATCAGTTTATAATGAATAGTTTAGCAGATTTATGGTTTGTATAGCCTTTAGTTTCGGCTAGGACGGGACTTCTTTCAGGTGAACATACAGAAGACACAGGTGATGAAGATACCCAACCAACAAAAACAACAAGCACCAATCAACATCAACGGGAGAAATCTAAACGAAGTTGTCTCTTTCACCTACCTACCTGCCTAGACAGTATCCTGTCAACTACAGGTGGCGGCGGCACAGATGAGGATGCCAAAGCCAGCTGGCATCGGGAATACAGTGCGTAGATCTACAGCACTGCACTGCACTCAGTAGAAAGCGTGAACAACATCAGGATTTTCAACACGAATATCAGTCAAGTCAGTGCTTCTATGTGATGGTTGAGAAACTTGGCGCATTACGAAAAGCATTTCCAACAAACTACAGACATATATCATCAACAGCTGCCCCCTACACTTACTCGATACTGAAGATGAGATAGCCAAAAAATGGACGACAAGGAACTCCGGATGGTAACAGACCAACTAACGAAGAAGATATCATAATGTATAATGCTAATGTATTAAACATATTTCAGTTAGTCTTCATCTTCTCATTAAACTCCTTAAATGTATTAAAGGGACTAATTGCTTAAGATTTAGTAATATGTCCACCATGAATAATCCACATCCTTGAGTAATCCACGTTTACACTGACATCAGACTTGCCATAACAGTAATAATATGAAATTTTTCTCTGAATAGACATTTGTTTTGTTAACTAAACTGTAATGTGGCGAAATTCCACATCTCAGTTAAAGATTAAATATATAAATTTCAGTACGATTCGTCAGCACTTTTTACTCTACATACATGATCTTATATGTATACTGTTGTGCAATGAACAAATACATACACACATAAGACATTGACCAAGACACAGACAACACACAGTCAGTGAGTCATTTACTATTTATGTCAAACAGAGCTAAGAAAAAGTTGAGACATACAGAGAGGGTAACGATTTGATAATGAAGGAATGAATTAGATCATTTCAAAGAGAATAATTAGTAGTCAAGTGGAGATAACTTGATAAAACTCCATGCTAAGAGAATATTGGATGATGTTAGGTAAACAAAAATATTGATTATAATAGGCATAATACGAGTGAGTGACACTAATGATAATAATAATAACAATACATAGTAATGATGGATAGTTTCTAGCAGTGGAATCCAGGATGCGCATTTCGTCCTATTTGGAATTCACTTGTCAGCTGGATGTACCTGCCTCACAGTGAGTGTTGTTCCCAGCAGGACACGGACTCTGGAGCGATCACTCCAAACGCCAGAGCGTTATCCATCGAGCCACGATAGCCACTTCCTAAGCGACGAGTATAGTTTTAGTATAATTGCTTATATTATACCGCCGTTGACTGGACCTAACAGATCGGTCTCTATTAGCATATAGGCTCCTGTGTGAATGCCTTGATATTGCATGTGTTTTTAATTATATATAGTAATGATGGCTAGTGGCTAGCAGTGGAATCCAGGATGGGAATCCTGGTCGGAACAACATCACTCATTGGGAGGCAGATACATCCAGTTGACCAGTGACTCCCAAATAGGAGGAAATGCGCATCCTGGATTCCACTGCTAGTCACTGCCCATTATTAGTATAACTAGAACTACACAGGCAATATCGAGGCATCCACACAGGAACCCATATGTGAATAGAGACCAATCAATTCGGTCCAATCAATGACAGTGTAATACAAGCAATAAGACCAATGATAACGATGGTAATGATAATAGTGAGGATATAAATATTGAAGAGATTGAAGATTATGTGATTTTGAAACAAGGTAAATAATGAACATCAATTAAGCAGCTTGGTAACAGTATAAAATTGAACGAGGTTAGAGTTGCTGTTTGAACAACGGTGACAATCATAATAGGGATGTAGATGAGTCATTCAACTATGAAGGGGGAGAACTTCAACACAACATGATACTACAGTAGAATAAGGACAGTGAAGAGATGTGAATATGCAAAGTAGAGGAAGAAATAAAATGGGAAAAACAAGAAATTAATAGAAGTAAAACAAATTCAAAATACTTTGACACTTCTACCATGGTAGATTTAGGGTGGCCACCATCTCTTTGTGTACACATACACTCCGTCAACGAGATCGAATGGCACATGCTTCCACGATTCCAAACCTTTTCTTATTCTCCTGTCTGCTGACCACCCAGAAGGTCTTAGTGCCGTCAACATCATCTTAATAATTAATTAAGTGTTTCGTATGATTTTTCATTCAGCTTGCCTCAACCATTTATGTCAATTGTCAATGATACGAGTCGACATACAACTTTCCATACGATTTATGTAAGTTGCTTTCACAAGCAAATTCAAATTGGGGTATATACAGACAGTGAAATGTATGTTAGAGTAAAAAGCGCTGACGACTATTTCTATGAAAGTTATGAATTCAGTTGAATCTTGCTTCAATTACATTTGTTACTTCTTTTAAAGATTTAATCAGACACATGTGTTTACAGTTACATTTTTCTCTTTTTCATTTGATTATACCTAAAGGGTTAAATTGAATCATCTCAACAAGTGTTCATTCTGTTCATCGACTAATAAAATAGGAGAACTTTAAGTTCTCTAGCCTAATTATTAATTACTTATACAAAAGGAAGACTATATGAGAAAAGTAAAGTTAAAATGGTACCCAACTTTTGTTGGCCACTAATAAATAAACTTTATTCAACTTTAAAAGTTGATATAGTCAAATCTTTTGTTTAAGAAAAACTTACTATTGTAACCAATAAGTAAGAATAAAACTAATAACAATGCAAACCAGTCTACTACTCGTTGTATATAGTAGACTGTGAACTGAACTAATCGTATGTTAGAATATGTTTCACTTGAAATTCAACTTCTCAAATTAATAGACTTTTTAATACCTTATCAATTAAGGTGTAGTTCTTTGAAAACAATAGTGCTAACATCATCGTCATCAACATCATTAATATCAATATAGGACCATGCATTACTGCATAACGGTCCGACTTATCAGTCAAAAGCAATAAAAGTACTCAAAGAGGGAAAGAAAGCATAAGAGAATGGTGAATTTCCGTATAGTGTCGTAAATATGAGGATAATGTGTATTATATACATCTGCGCCACTGATATCGGTTCTCAACCATGTGATCACCTAGAGTCAGTCTCCAACTATTGATTTCTGTTGTCCCACAGACTTCAACCAGCTAGTCTGCATAGCTCCACATAGCTCAAACCAACAGTCAAACACTTTACACATTGATGTCATGTTTTAGTCTGTTCCCCTTCTCGAGCCTTTTTACAACCTGAACCTACTTTTATCGATATATAATGGTAACAACTATATAATTTAATTTGATTGTCCTTGAATCTACATTTCTTAGAATGAGATTACACACTGTGTTGATGTCTCTTTTTTCAATATATTCCAATAGTTTCAATAAGTTACTAATACATATCCCAGTGTTATCAAAGTCAGTAAGCATTCACAATTACAAAAGATCAAGTGATTACTTATAAAAAGTACTACTAAGTATTGAGAAATTATAATAATGTATAGAATTATTCAATATGGGGAGAAAATAAGTAATTTTATTGTCAAGTTTGAAATAGTTAGTCAGTTTGATAAATTGAAACAAAGTAATGAGAAGATGAAGATCATAAATATGAACTTATTGAATAATTCATGTAAAAAAGTGACATAAGTGACAACAAGTGGAGTTATAAACAAGAAAGATAATAAGATCAGAACGAAAATAGATAACAAGAATAGAAGTAAATCATATCATGAACACTATCACTATCATCATTTTAAAATATACTCAATGGAAGGGGGTATAGCTAACTGAGAAGTAAATCGAATTGGACAGTAAAATAATATATTATTTCCTACCTCTATTATCCAATCTCATACAATCGTAACTTGGCAATGAAGACGGACTTCAAGTGAACGTAGAGAAGACAGAGGTGATGAAGATACCCTACCAACGCAACCTCCAACACCACCATCACCACCAACAACAACAACAAGCTACAATCACCATCAACGGGAAACACCTAAAGGAAGTAGTCTCTTTCATCCACCCTGCTAAACAGCATCGTTTCAACTACAGGCAGTGGCGGTGTCACAGGCACACACGAGGACGTCAAAAGCCAGTCAGGTTCGGAAAAGCAATACAGGCGTTCATTAACCTGAAACCAGTGTAGAGATCTACTGCACTGTACTCAGCATAAAGCGTGAACAACATCCGGATTTTCAACACTAATGTCAGTCAAGTAAGTCAGTGCTTCGATGTGATGGATGGTTGAGAGACTTGGAGCGTTACGAAAAGCGTTTCCAGAAAACTACAGATATTCATCAACAACTGCCGCCTACTCTGGCTCAGTACTGAAGATGGGATGGATGGCCAGAATGAATGATGAAGAAGGAAGTCTGACTGTCTGGCAACGAATCAACTAAGAGCCTATTACGCAACGAATATGCAGAAGGAGAAAGTGGATATGGATTAGGCATGCACTGAGAATGCCTACTGGGGTGATCACGCGCCAGGCCAGGCCGTCGATCGGAATCCAAAGGAGGAACGACCAGTTGGACGTCCGAGGTGAGGGTGACATGGAGGAGGTCATGTAAGGAAGAAACGAAAGCTTGTGAGCAGTGGTGGAGCCGAGTTGAAAAGACTGGAGAGAGTACAGTGAAATGGAGACGTGCAACTGAAGCTCTATTTTCCACTGGGAACCGAAGTGATGAATGATAATAATAATATACTACGCTAGTAGGACTAACATATATCATCATTTCGGCTATCTGGGATAGCCATGGTTTGTCAAACTTGCATTGATACTGTGTGATGTTTGAAGTTTAAATGAAAATTTAGGTTGGGACAGGATTCGAACGAGCGACCAGCTGGTTTCTAAACTAATGCTCTATGAACTGAGCTTTCGAGTTCCGACCGGTGACCAGGTTTTTATCTCACATACAATAACCACCCAGTATTCATATATGTCAGACAAAAAAGGAGGACCATATTAAACAAAGAAATATAACAAACATGTGTTATTACCAGTGATTATAAAAAGTCTATTGAGCTTCCATTATGAGCCAAATGATATGTTGAATAGTTAATTTTGGATAGATCATCATTAAGATTTAATAAAATAGGTTTAGGCGCTGGTGGAGGTGGTGGTGATGGAGCTAAATTCCTTAGTGGAAGATCACAATTCTCCAGATATGTCCAGTTTTCTTTTATTGATTTATGATCAACACCTTTGTTCAATTCTGTTTTACCACTACCTATCAGCTATAAAATAAGAGAAAGAAGGGTAGATTAGATGGAAATTTGTTGTGTATTCAGACTATTGAGAGCATGTGGATCATAAATGTGTTAATCTATGTCACAATAAAATGTGAATCAAGGGTATGCTCACCAGTGTATACTGTTATATCAAGCTATTAGCGATTGGTTGGTGCTACAGTTGACCAAATATTCAACTACACATCTTATTTAGTGTGATAATTCCCCACTATATAAAACGGGCAAATATTTTTCATTACCTAATGTATGTATGTAAGAAGAAAAATACTGGTGGGTCTATTTGTCTTCATCTGAATGTAAAGACTGATACTGCGGCTCGCTGACTGTCCAATATTGATTCGTTTGGACCGAATTGACTGACTCCTTTCAGGACATTAGTTTCTCTTCTGATGCCTTAATATGGCTGAAGATTTCATTTTGGTATCAAGGATAAACCAATATAATCATCTATGTTCAAGTATTCACTGTTATACAGCCATACAGGATCAATTTGCTAGACCTCTGTTGGCAGATGCCCTCTTATACAAATGCCTCGATACTGCTGGGTATTCATGATGTTATATTGACCTTCATAACGAGCGGAGGATTCCAGGACACGCGTTTTTTCCTGTCTGGATGTCGTCAGCTGGATGTATCTGCCCCCACTGCGGAGTGATGTTATTCCCACTGGGGCTTGCTACAAAAGCCTAAGTAGAACGGAATGTGCATCTTGGATTCCCCTGCTAGGTCATCAAGATTAATATAACGTCATGAATATCCATCAGTATCGAGGTCGAGCAATTTAACCGTATATAGCATCGGAAAATTACAAGTATCATAACAACAACTGATACCCATTGCACTAGAGGTGACTATAGTCCCCCAGTGGCTTAGTGGATAACACTTTGGCATTCGAAGTGATGAGTACTAGGTTAAAGCCCCACTGGGAATAACATGATTCACTGTGGTGCATGTATGTTTAACTGACGAGTCATAAGTGGGACGAAACGCATCTCCTGGATTCTTTTGTTAGTCACCTTCTTAACTGACCAGTTGCAGATTGTTTCACAATAATATAAAGGATGTTGCCTTATTCTCGTAGAAACTTTCTGAAGTGTTCACTCTTATGAAATCCTTCGAAATATTTTATTCAATTCCAAAGTTACGCGTTCATATTGATGGTTGTAACAAACTGGCTACTTATTGTTCATCCCAAAAAAGAAAGAAACAGTTGAATATCACAAGCTTATAATAGTATAGTATTCCAAATTCCCATAACTCCCTCAAAATTCAATTGAACTGGTGCTCATTGGTGACTAGCTTCGAGAGGTATTCACGAAGTTCCGATGATAAGTCGTCACCGGTAGGGGTAAAGCCTGATGGTCGTAAGGACAGTTACTCAACGATAACATTGCGTAGTGGTTGCTCTATATCATGAGCTAACAGAAGTTGGAAACATGAAACGTTGGGTTCTGACCCAGTGGCTAACTCAATGGTAACGCGCTGGCCACGGAACCTGAAGGTCACGGGTTTGATCCCTGGGAGGCGGGGTCGTGGGTGCGCACTGTTGAGGAGTCCCATACTAGAACGAAACAGCTGTCCAGTGTTTCCAGGTTTCCTTTGTTCCTCCAACTGATGTCAGTCTCCGATGAATAACAATTTGAAATTTTTAAACTGTTCAACGCTTAACAACAACAATTAGAATTCATGACGTGTTACTACCGCTTGATCGTATTCACACTGGCTGCCTAGTCATTCCATATAGGTGGCTAAGTTTATAAAAACAGCTAACCGGTTGATGGATTCTTATAGGCACTATAAGGTTTCTTACAGTTCAGTCCTAGTTAATCCAATCTTATATATAGAAAGAAGTAAACGAAGCCTCATCATATATAACACATGACAAAGTTACCTTAATTATTTCAGTTCGTCTATATTATCAATTGAGTTATCTTCTGTGTCTAAGCAATCTATGCCTAAAACTGGCATAAATTCATTCTGTAGTCCAGTTATATAGATTTATTTATCTATTCAGAAGAGACCTTATAATAACTGACTAATTAATTATTCGAAGCAAACCTCCCTCATAACATGATATCTACAAGTCAGTCATCCTATTCCTTTCATCACTCTATGAATCTTCTTAACAGTTTAGAAGAATCTAAAAGATTTCAGGTGTTCTTTTCATGTTACTGTCAAGTATGACAACTTGACTTGATAAACTTCTTTACGACGTTCTATATTAATTTTAACTTTCTCTATTTTTACTTTAAGTGATTGTGTGAACACTTAACAATTTCCCAACTGGATTTTGAGGGGATTGTGGAGATTTGGAAATATTTCAAGCTGTTATTCATCGGAGACTGACATCAGTTGGAGGAACAAAGGAAACCTGGAAACACTGGACAGCTGTTTCGTTCTAGTATGGGACTCCTCAACAGTGCTCACCCACGACACCGCCTTCCAGGGATCAAACCCGTGACCCTCAAGTTCTGTGGCCAGCAAGTTACCATTGAGTTAGCCACTGGGTCAGAACCCAACGTTTCATGTTTCCAACTTCTGTTAGCTCATGATATAGAGCAACCACTACGCAATGTTATCGTTGAGTAACTGTCCTCACGACCATCAGGCTTTACCCCTACCGGTGACGACTTATCATTGGAACTTCGAGAATACCTCTCGAAGCTAGTCATCAATGAGCTAACAGAAGTCGGAAATATGGATCGTTGGATTCTGACCCAGTGGCTAGCTCAATGGTAACTTGCTGGCTAGGGAACCTGAAGGTCACGGGCTCCATCCCTGGAGGGCGGGGTCGTGGGTGCGCACTGTTGAGGAGTCCCATACTAGAACGAAACAGCTGCCCAGTGTTTCCAGGTGATGTCAGTCTCCGATGAATAACAACTTGAAATTTTCCAACTGTTCAACGCTTAACAACAACAATTAGAATTCAACCAGTTAACAAACTATATGATGTGAATCAGTTGTATGCATGTTAAATCACCAGTTTTGCCACAGCAATCACAAAACTAGAAATCAGTTTACAGTATGAGATAAACCTTACAATTACTTATCGTCAAGTAACAAAGAATTTTACATTCAGTTACTTCGGTTTAAGAACAATTCCTGAATCATAATTTGTATGAAAGCAAACAAAAGAGACACACGCACATACACAAACAAGATAGGGTTATATCTCTAAAAATTGATTACTTCAAATCAATAAATGATAATTCAGGTCATAATACCCCTACAGGGGTTATAACTTCACCATAGTAACTCTGCTGAATAATCGTAAGAAAAATAATAGTAGAGTCCCTGTAGGAAGTATGCAGTTTTTTACGTAATGATTATGATGAAAAAGAAAAACGCAGATATGTATTGAGATCATTTGACTATCTGAGATAGTAGCCATAGGTTGGTAGATTAGTATTTATACTAGGTGATGATTGAAGGTTAGATGAAAACTTGGACCATGGTCGGATTCGAACCAGCGACCCTACTAACTAACCTGGTTTGAATCCAGTCGGGGTGAAAATTTTTCATTTCACCTTCAATTATCACTTAGTATATATTGAAATAATGATTTTAAAAATTCGATTAGTTCATTATTCTTTTCATAATTATTCGAAAATAGGAGAGTTGAAGAAGATGATCATCTGTTTTAACGATCTCATTATGGAAAAGTATACAATCGTGTTTTTTTTTCGACTCCAAGAATATAACCATCTATTATTCAACAGTAGAGTATGGTGTTTAATTACATTTCACAAGATGGAGAAATATTCTATAATAATGTAGATAATGAAAGTATGGAATCGTAAAAGATATAAACTACTTTTAGATATGAAGCAGGTTTGATAAACTGTCCTATAATAACGAGAGTGAAGAAAAAAATTATGACGATAATTCACATGATGACAATGAAGAACCATCAGATTACAGTAGATTATAACACGAAGGTAGACTGTTATTATCATGGAAGGATTGAAATATTTTGTTCTTTCAACATCTATGGAAATACCTGTGATTTTCATTATTATATTTTTTTAGGCAGGGAAATTTCATGCTTATTTCACTGTATTGTATATTCGAAGGTTAAATTAGCGCCTTCATCCTTACGAATAATGTTATTCTCATTGACAGTGGAATGCAGCAGTTAAGGCTTAGAATACAACAAAATTACCCACTAGATTCATGAGTCAAAAATCTACCTACAGGAGATTAGGATAAGACATATATTCTAGGTTCTAACTACGAGCAAGCGGCTACCTATTAACAAGTGAGTAAAACTCATAGAATAATCAAGGCAATCTTGCCAATATGCTCATAAACTAGTGAATAATGACCAGCTTCAGTCAGTCAATATCAATCTAGGGACTTGGCATAACTAGAACGAGACATGTATCAACGAAGAAGAAATATCTCTTTCCAACGACTTCATTATCAAGCTGTACAGTCATATCTATACTCGGTTAAATGACAGATAATTGCACTAAAAAGTTATTCAGTCAATATGCACAATATATATTAGGTGTACACTGGGTGGTATTTGTTCAAGTGGAAGAGATAGAAAATCGGTCAATGAATAAGGAGGGACAAATTGATAACAGGTGGTGAGATAAGAGACAAGTGTTGTCAAATAATTGTAAAACGGTGATAATTTAGCAGACAGACGATTTTTCAGCACTTCGGTTGTTGTGTCTCCTTTGAATTCCAGATTCATGGTTAAGATTTTCTTAGGGATTGTAATGGGATGAAGAGTGGTTCATTCCTTCAGATTTTTATCAGTAAATCTTTTAGGGTATCCGTTATTAGATAGTATTATTATAAGAGTTTCGATTTAAGCATCCACCGTATCTTCTGAACATATTGCATAGATTCTGGAACACAGTGAGTGAATGAAATTTCTCTAACAACAAAGAGGTACCCAACTATTAAAATTAGTGAACTGACCGGTCTAAGTTGGTTTTCGATAGACTGACCTTTGAATCGAGCCATCATCCCTTCTCTTTAAGGTTACGTCTAGAAAGTGGAACGTTGAGTTTAACTCTTCCTCTACAGTGAATTTAATGGACTGGTGAAAATCATTGAAACGTTTTAACAGCTCGCTCGTCCACTGAAAATGTTTCGTTGCAAATAAGAAAAGTGTCGTCCATTTACCTTTTATACAAATAAAGTTCCGAAATTATTTCTTCAAGGGGCCCGTTTTCTAGCTTTGCCATGAAGATATCAGCCAGGACAGGGCCTAGTGGAGACTCCATTGTGATTCCGTCCGTCTTATTATAAATTATATCATTGAATCTAAATTGCACACTAAACGTACATCTTAATATTTGTTCTTTTAGGTGGCGCGTAGGTTATCTAATGTTAATATTATTAGAATCAACGTAATCACATATATAACAAACGGTTTCAACAAGTGGAATATTGGTAAACGACTTCATCCATATATGAACATCTTGTTGAATTGGGACACTCAGCACCTCGAGATTCATCCTTTAAAATAACTTACAAAGTTAAGTTGAACTACTCCAAAGGTTTACGTGTCCATCACCTATGCATGCATAGCTGAAGCATCAGCTAAACATGAACAAATACCGAAACTTTGCATTCAAAAATGTTTTGTGAATACACTTTCTCTACCTTGACCTTAACAATTCACTTTTGGTCATTTCGTCAACTTCATTTCACTTCATTTTGATATACTTCTCTTTTATTATCATCATTATCACCTATTTTCCCTTCATTGACAACATTTGACCCATATTTCACTACTTAATATCAATTCATTCCTTATTCTTAGAAGCAGTATTCATCATGGACTGAACAGCGCGTTCACCATGAAACCTGAAGGTCCTGAGTTCGATCCCTAACCGGGTTGTGGGTGTGTACTGCTGAGGAGTCCCATACTAGGACGAAACAGATATCCAGTGCTCCCAGATTTTCAATGGTTTCCCAACTGATATCAGTCCTTGATGAATGCTACTTCTAAAATTAAAAAATTCCGATTCATCTCAAAAATCCATTCCTTATTCATTGATCTATTTCACACGTTTCAGCTAAATTATCACCGTTTTACAATTATTTGACAACACTTGTCTCTTATCTCACCACCTGTTATCAATTTGTCCCTCCTTATTCATTGACCGATTTTCTATCTCTTCCACTTGAACAAATACCACCCAGTGTACACCTAATATATATTGTGCATATTGACTGAATAACTTTTTAGTGCAATTATCTGTCATTTAACCGAGTATAGATATGACTGTACAGCTTGATAATGAAGTCGTTGGAAAGAGATATTTCTTCTTCGTTGATGCATGTCTTGTTCTTGTTAATGTATAAACGGGTATATTTCGTCACTTGGCATAATTGCCAAGTGGCTGAACTAGTTACGCCTCATAGCAATATATGAATGTAGAAGGCAACGAAATCGGATATATATAGAAATAAGGAGCAAAGTAATAAAAATTGATACGAAAAATTTAAACGGAACTACAAGAAAAATGAAAACAAAATTCGGCATAACACAATTGAGCTGACGATAATAAATCTGTTTTCAAACTTCACCCATTCATATGCTTCAATCGTTTGAATAATAGTAGAAAGTATTAATCACTACTCTACAATGTCAGTTTAGTTTCATAAAATCAACTAGTTCAAATTATTACTGATTTCAAGTTCATGGCATTTGAAGCAACAGTCCTCGAGTTCGAGTTTCATTGGGAACAAAATCACTCACTGAGAAGCAGGCATATCCACCTGACGAGTCTAAAATGGGCATGAAGCTGGATTCCACTGCTATCTACTATCCATTTTGTACTCGCCTCGGCGGTACATATAAACTTCGACTGGTTAACTAGTTCACTAGTTACTAGCCGGTCTTAAGGCTGAGTAAAGAGGGCATAGGGCTAACAACCCTACATCGTAAAACCAATCCAACCACTACAGAAACTTCAAAGCATAGAGGAAATAAAAATTATCAGGTTGATGAAGTCACTTCATTTCGAAACTGATTTGTTTACACTTCAATAGACTTACGCAGAAGTTTGCAAAATTTTAACTGCAAATAAACTTAAGTGTAAAATTATAAATGAAATATATCATTTTGTAAAATTCCAATGAAATAGAAAAATAAACTTCTGACTTTTTATGACTTCGTGGAAATCGCTTCTTCAGAGAATAAGACCTGTACAAGTTATCGAATAGTTTAAATGGTAAAAGGCGATGAATCAGATCACATTGTCTGATTCATCACCTTTTACTATTTAAACTATCGATAACTTGTACAGGTCTTATTCTCTGAAGAAGCGATTTCCACGAAGTCACGAAACGTCAGAAATTTACTTTTCTACTTCATTGGGATTTTACACAATATATTTCATTTGTGATCCAATTACCCAGTGTTCAACCTATTCAACTATAACAGGTCAAAATTTAATTCTGAAGTGTAAAATGGTCAAAAAAGTAAAATTGTCAGTAACAACGAAAATAAACTTTTGTGGAAATCTAAATCACATACTGATTACTTTCATACTTATAGGGTAAAAAAAGGATTGTAAATAAAGTGAGATTCATGTTAGGATAGTTACCTAGATTGATAACCACGGAATCGAACCTCTGATTAAAGTGTTTGATGTGATATCACTCTCCGATTAGAATTACTCTCGAGATCGATCAACCAATCAATCAATACCCATAAAACAGATTAATGACTTGTTTAGAGTTGTGTTTCTTGAAGTTCTTATTCAAAACCATAACTTGTTGGATCAACCGACTGGAGACTGAGGATAGATGGCCACCCATGGTAGTAAGTGATCGTTTCAGTGGGTCACAAACTGGAATCCAATTAAGTGGCTGGATGGTAAGTTGATCCCAATAAGACCTATGTTCACTCATATATGAGCAATAGTGAGGAGCTCAAAGGTGAGATGAAGCAGTGACTCTGAGTTTCTATTGGCTCTTGAAGTCATGTCAATTTATGAAGTTTAATTTGAAGTCAATTTTATTACTCACTGACTTAATGAATTATTTAACCACACTCCAAGCAGAGAAAAACTTATAAATATGATCTAGAGGTTGCATCCAACATGGTCTGACATCATTTGAGGAACGGCTGGAAACCTGGCATAGGACTCCCCGGCAGTAAGCACCCATAACCTGACTACGCATCAAACTCCACAACTTCAGGCTCCATGACTAACGCGTTAACCATTCTATCAGGCTATATGAGTTTATTTAGATCAATAAGTGTAAATAAACTGATCACAAACCTGACTTAACCAATTTTGTCGAGGTGTTGTAGGTTGTTTAATATGTACTTGTGATAACTTCTTATTACTATGGCTAATTTCTTCATGATATCTTGAAGAGGATGTAATTGTTTCAGGATATTGTGGCCAAAATAATGGAGGATTAGGTGCAGGTCCATGTGGATCAATAGATGGTGGTTGATACAACAATCTGAAGGTATCTATTTCATTCTGTGATTGTTTATTCCATGGAGGCGTATAAATAGAATTGATGCCACCATTGTTCATCTGAAATAGACAGCAATCGAAATAGTTATCTTCAGGAAATAAGATGTCAAGTTGAATATAAGCTCACAATTTGTGAAGTGTATATTCTAATGAAGGAAATGAGATATATTAAGTCAGCAAATAAGATAAACGACATACCTGATCGATCAAATCACAGTACTCCAACATACTACCGACTTCTAACATTTTAGTTCAAATGGCAGAATGTTTGAATCACCATAGTTTTAGACTATCGCACATTTTAAAACAACAGACAGTTGGATGTGTTTAGTGATATAAACAGATCGAATAAGTTGACAGGCTTAATATAAGGGAAAGTGGAATATTGAAAAGAAAGTGACTAAATTCACCTGTATAATAACGATACACTATGCGTCATGGAATAGAATTTCGTGTACATTGAGAAATTTATTTTAACTATTTTATTTACTATATGCCTATACACTATCATCATGTTTTGTATCTGACCACTCAAATACTCCTTTCATATTATTTGTATTCAATTTAACTTTATGCAACAATGATATACTAAGTGCAGTATATCAGTGAGAGCAAGTTTACAACCTTATAAGTTCAGGTTTATTTGATTATTATCTACTCAGTATATCTATTACATTTCTCAACCTTTGAATTCATGGCTTTTCGTGCTCGAAATCCCTATCATGTTTCCGATTCATTTCTACCACTTCTAAAACTAGCTAGGGCGTGTTTCAGTGGGTTGTCTGTCAATCTCAGTTCCATGGTGTGCCAGAATATGTATATGTGCACTGTAGGCTAGTTATGAACTACTACGGTTGAAATGATACTTGAATCAGTTCAGTATTTGTTGTTTATAATTGCTATGGATGATTAGTTTTTTATTATTTGTCGCTTGGGTTCCTAGTGGAACATAGGGATTCAGTAGCGCGTCACCATTTCATTCTGTTCTCTGCGGTCTCTTGAACCTGGCTCCACGACTGTCCATAACCTTTCATTTCTTCCTCACACCATCTCCTTCATGTCACCGTCGGATTATATGTTCTTGGTTGGTTCGTTGCCAGCCAGAGTTCCTTGTTGCTTATTCTTATTATTCTGGCCATCTGATCTTCAATATTGAGCGTAGGCAGCTGTTAATGTATGTCTGCAGTTTGTTGCAAATGCTTTTCGTAATCCGCCAAGTCTCTGAACCATCACATGGAAGCATTGACTTGAGTGACATTAGTGTTCAAAATCCGGAACTTGTTCACGATTTATGCTGAGTGTAGTGGAGTAGATCTTCACACTGATTTCATCATGGGTCTGCATTATTTGCAGGTGCATAGCGTTGTATGATTGTACTTTTTTTTCTTTTGGTTTGAATCTTGCTGTCAAGGTCCTGAAGCAGATTGACTTTCACTGCGTGAGAGCCTTCGATGCTCTTGGGGGCATCATGTTAGCCACTCTAAAACTCAGTGCGATCGTGATTGTCAGTCTGGGTGACAATATTGGATTAGATTATTTACTCTCCAGTTAACAGTTTGGAGAGTTCACTTCCATTCCATCTACTGTCGCAGATTCCTAGCACTTGTATGCTATGTCTTCTCATTTCTTTTGCAATCTGGGCAGCCATGCCAGCCAGCTTCAAACATGGTGCAGACATTCCATGTCCCTATGCTTACTATTGCTTTCATCAATAGAAGAAAAGACACATCGGCCAACTGGCTTTCTGAAAGCTTTCACCAACCGGCGTCATTTCGTCTCCTCGATTCCAGCAAGGAATATGTTTATTTATTATATTTCGTCTGTGCTTTAAAGTTTCTCTAGCGACTGTATTGATTTTACGGGTAGGGTTGCTAGCCCTACACTCAACCTTCCCTCTTTACCCGGGTCTAGGATTGGCTAGTAAACTAGTGGAGGGAGTTTAAACTCAAGATAGCTCTATTGTTCACTACTTGGTTATCAGTGTTACTTGAAGAATCTTCACTGTTTACTAATTATATCAGTACTTCTAGGTTATTCCTCTTGTGTGAAGATCTGCACCTAGTAGCAATCAACCTGACAAAACAAAATATTAAAGATATCTTTGATGAAATGTGTATAAATTTGCTGGTTCATTTCACCTAGACAATTATTGCATGCAGATGCATAACTAAAGATAAGCTACCAGTGCATAATAGTAATTATGCTCATATTGGACCAAGTTAACTCATCTGAAAGAAAAATCTTTATGCGTAGTTGAGGCCAATAAAAAATGGAATACGTTGCTTTTCTAAAACAAAAAGTTATCATTACTTTGAACTAGTAAGAAATAAAGTAATTCAAAGAAGATACAACAAAGCAATAAAGTATATCTTATTCATAGAAAATACTTAATTGATAGCATATGACTTAGTCATGTGATATTTTACGCTTCTATCCAAGATATACTCTGAAGTACAGTTTAAGTGTTTAAGTACAAGCTGAATTAAAAGTCAATTGATGAAAGAAATCAAATAAATTAACGATATTAATTTATACTACTGATAAAATAGGCTAGTAGCTTACCAATATCAGAATAGAAATATAAGCTTTTTTCATGAAAATTTACATAAAAGGGTCAATTAATTCAACAGGAAATATAGAAAAAGTTGAAAAGGAAGCGAAAACTAAACAGAAAATCTAATTCATATCACTTCTGGCAAGTCAATACTACCAAGATAGGTTCAACACGATTACAAACTATTTTTGCATAAATAAATAAAAAGGAGTTTAAATTTACAGATGGTAAGATCATTTTTATGTAGTACTTAAAAATCTGTTATCATGTAAACACCGTCATTAGGTTCTAGTATGTATTTTGCAATGGATGAAGAAGAACGTTTGTCACCTGTAATTATCGACTCTGTTGAGGTCAGTTGTTTATGAAGCCACTTACATACATGTTCAATCATCCTTAACTGGATATCACAATTACTCTTCCTTTTGTATATGTGTCCACACATATAAGTTGATGAACACAGTGGGATGTGATGCAATCGTTTATGTAATGTTTTGTTTTCCGTTATAATCTGGACTTTATCTTCTCGATAGTGATGACCTTAGCTGCATAATATGTTTTACAGATGGTTGATCTAAGTCTTTTTCTCACAATAAAGATATGTGAATCACCTCTAAATGGTAATGAGATGTATAGACATATAGACAAAAGGAAGAGTAATCATGATATCCAGTTAAGGATGATTGAACATGTATGTAAGTGGCTTCATAAACAACTGACCTCAACAGAGTCGATAAGTAAAGGTGACAAACGTTCTTCTTCATCCATTGCAAAATATATACGAGAACCTAATAACGGTGTTTATATGATAACAGATTTTCAAGTACTACATAAAAATAATCTTACCATCTGTAAATTTAAACTCGTTTTTATTTATTTATGCAAAAATAGTTTTTAGTCATGTTGAACCTATCTTGGTAGTATTGACTTACCAGAAGTGATATGAATTAGATTTTGTGTTTAGTTTTCCCTTCCCTTCTAATTTCAACAGTTAACTTTAAAGGTCACCCTAACAACTAATGAGATAAGCAATTAAATTTACTTAATTTATAGAAAACTATCTTCCCAGGCAAAATATCGAAGCCTGATTAGTCATTTTAACAGTTGTTAGGGTGGCCTTTAAAATCGCTGAATTCCTCTTCTGTTTCTTGTAGAATTAACTGACCCTATTTCGTAAATTTTCAGATAAATAGTTTGACAACTCTATATGTCATCAGATTGTTCGAAATGTATAGCGCTATTACATAACATATGTTTCACATAATCATCTTTTCATTAAGCTGTTAAGATTTACAAATGTGAACATGATAGACGTATTATTCAGGAATCAAATTAGGGTTACTTATTACATACATAACAGCAAAATATTTAAGGCGAAGGAAATACATAGTATATTATGGATGACTGTATAAAAATAGATGAAGTAGAAAAATGTTCTCAAGATAGATTGTATATTTGTATAAGTAGTAAGTTCAGACTTCATTTTTCCAGATTGCTCTTCAGTTTAATTTAAACCTCTGAAAAGTATGGAAATGTGCTCAAGGATAGAGATAAGTTAACGAAACTCAAATACTTCAATGAATCATACAGGTGATATAGGCCGTTTGAATAAGTTACCCAATGCTTACTGATTAGATCAGTGACACAGTTAAAGAATAAAGTTAATCTGAGCTTATTTCATATTTTGGTTGGTTGTGGCTCGTAGAGGAATCCAGGACGCGTATTTTCTCCTATTTAAGATTCACTAGTCATCTGGATGTACCTTCACCGCAATGTCGAGTTATGTTGTTCCTATTAAGACACAAACCTCGTACCGATCGCTTCAAATGCCAATATGTTATCCACTATGCCACAGAGGAGCTAGATCCCACAGAAGCCATATGCCCGTATGGAGTATAAATTCAATTTGACATTTTCATTATAGAGAAATAGGGAGTAAATAATTTACTAACATGTGAAATTATATTATTTTCATTAGAAGTAAAGAATTTATTTGTACAATATCTTCAAGGAATCCATCCACATTTACTAGTTAAGATGTTCTTCTATAGCAAAGAATAGTGATCATAAGGTTTCAGTACTAAAAGTGTTTCCAGACACTTTCCAGTCAGGTCAGCAGCATAAAATATGACGAATATTAATTAGTTAAAGAATTCAACACCCAAGAACCTTGCTTTCCCTTGATTTCTGTGAAATGTTTCACTGTTTAACATTCGCTCATGAATCTGTTACCATTCATTATTATTATCATTCCCTTGGGTTCCTAGTGGAACATATACCTTCAGTAGCACGCCTACATTCCACTCTGCACTTCTCTGCAATCTTTTCAACCTGTCTCCACCACTGCCCACAAGCTTTCATTTCTCCTTTACATGATCTCCTCCATGTCACCCTCACCTCGGACGCACAACTCATCGTTTCCCCTTTACATTCTACTCGACGACCTAGACTAGCGCGTGATGTCCCAAACGGCTTTTTCAGTGTATGTTCAATCCATCTCCACTTTCTTCTACATATTTGTTGGGTGATAGGTTCTTGATTGGTTCGTTGCCAGCCCTGAGTTCCTTATTGCTTATTCCTATTATTCTGGCCATCCATCTGATCTCCATCTTCAGTATCGAGTGAGTGTGGGCGGGAGTTGTTGATGAATGTCTGTAGTTTGTTGGAAGTGCTTTTCGTGACGTGCCAAGTTTCTCAACCATATAGCAGCACTGATTTGACATCGGTGTTGAAAATCCGGAATTTGTTCACTCTTTGTGCTGAGTGCAGTAGACCTCCACACTGATTTCAGATTAATGAAAGCCAGTCTTGCTTTTTCGATCCCGGCTGCTTTGACATCGTCGTCTGTGCCACCTGCAGTTGAAACAATGTAAGTGGAAGAGACAACGCTCTTCAGGTTACTCCTGTTCATGGTGATTGGTGCTTGTTGTTGTTGTGGTTTTTGATTGAGTATGTTCATCACCTCTGTCTCGTCTTCGCTGCCTTGCTTCTTCTACCAACCTGTTAGTTTTCACCTGTAGATCTTCGAGTTTGTGCGACAAGACATTTGACATGAATCATCAGTGAAACGCCAATCTTCTTCTAGGGTCTTTTCATCGGTTAAACCGTCTATACCCATCTTGTCACCCCTCACGGTTTGCTGCATGATTTAGTCCACCACAATCAGAGATATCGCCGGTGACAGTAGGTGGAAGCTTCGTCTAACTCCTGTCTTCACTTCAAAGCCATCACTGAGCTTTCCATTGTGAATTTTTTGGCATGTGGCGTTTTCATATGGCTGTTGTGGAATGAGGTTGATAAAGATTTGTGGTACTCCGTAGTGTTGAAGCAACTGCCTGCCAAATTACTTCTCGGGAGACGCTGTCAAAGGCTTTTTTAAAGTCGATGAAGTTGAGGTAGAGAGTTGACTGCCATTCAATACTGCGTTCAATGATGATGCGTAGTGTTGCAATTTGATCCACACATGATTTTTTCTTCCCGAACACAGCCAGACTGTTCTGGTTGTAATTTTGAATCCAGTGCATCCTTTAGTCTCTCTATGATGATGTGGCATAATGTTTTGCTTTGGGTGGATAGCATATTGCCATAAATAAAGGTATGAATTTACAACTTCACCGATATGGGAAAATGTAAATGAGAATAAATTATAAGCTGGTGTTCCAAATGTAACCTGTCAATTAAGAATTGTGAAGGTAATGGGTTACACTTCATAAAATCTATGACTTCATATCTTCAAAGAGGCCAAAATCGGAAAGAACCAACTATCATATCTTCCTTAGTTTGTAAAGGTTCATCGACATCCGACAATATCAAGAAAACCATCAACAGAAGTTTTATACAACTGGTATTTCTTAAGGACTCGCTGAAATCATTTTTGAAGAATATATTGAATGTGACTGATGAATTCTACCTCACCTGTAGTTCATTGCATGGAAATTAAAATGTTACTACTATTTATGCATAAACTTGTAATTCTCCAGTGTTTTTACGGGATCAAATTGTTCGACCTCTATTGGCATATGGGCTCCTATGCAGACGCCTCAATATTGCCTGAGTGTTGATTATGATAAGTACGAGGTTAGAGTGTCAGGAGGAACAACACCACTCAGCACTGAAGTGCAGGTACATCCAGCTGACCAGTAAATCCTAAATAGGAGGAAATGCGTGGGCTGGATTCTTCTACTAGCCACGACCAAACAAATTACCTTAATTGAAATGTTACTGTTAATAAGGCATTCCTAGAATGTATTTACGAATGCTTTCTATAGTTTTCTGTAGGAATAAAACAGTATACTTCATTACTCAAGCATATATACCTTCCAAACGCTTCATGAATTTGAAAACAGCAATAATTTACGTCTTATGTAGATGGTGTTTTTATTACTTTATTCACAGTAATCAAATGGAATAAATGCATGAAATACCTTTAATGAGTGTTCCTGTAAATTGACTTCTATTGCAGAAGATAATTTTTGTGGACTGGAACCATGTATACCATCCTTTTTCTTAAGTCCTGTAGGTATTTGAGGTAGTTGACGTTTATGCTGTTTAAGACGTTGAGCGGAATGAGAATTTTCCATTACAATTTGGGAGTCCGGTAAACTAGCTGTCCAAACAGGCTTTTTAAAAAAAGATGAATGAAATAATCATTTTGATGATAACTGTGCAAGGAAAATAAGAATTTAAGAATGGAATTTTGGCCGGGAGGGTGATTCTTCCTAGAATAGAGAAATATAATTCGTTATCTCAGTGGTATTTACAGTAGTCTTTACAGTCAATCTTTGTGACAAGTTATTTACTAATAAAGGAATTATTTATGAATACTTTTGCTGTGAGTGAGAGAAGGCAGGTTAGATATTCTTCTTCTCCTCCTGGATCATTTTATTCTATTGACAGAGAGTAGGTAAAGTATTTTAATGAGTATTATATGGGTCAAAGTACATACTACTCAAATAATCAGCATGATTTACACTTTCTCAAGTGCACTTTTCAGCAGGAAAATAAAACGTTAATTCTGATAAGCATCAAAATGTACTTAGGAATCATATGATGAAAAGAATACTTAAGTGTCTTATAAGATGTCAGAATTAGAAGTTGAAAATTAAACATCATTCAACAATATTCCATGAAGTCCGATGAAGGATCAATACTTAATGTATCACTCCTAACTAACAGAATAGTAATAATAATAAGGAAGAAAAGTGAATAAAATGAAATTTCATTGATGAAATGATTAATAATCTTGGGTTGGTATTCATTATGAACTGATATCAGTTAGAGAAACATTGGAAATCTGGGAGAACTGTTCATCTGTTTTATCCTGTTGTGGAATTCCTCAGCAGTGCACATACTTGACTGCTCCAGCAACACGACCCAGTACCTTCACGTTCCGTGGCCAGTACGCTGACATTGAGTCATTTGGTTTAATTCAGATGATCCATATTTCCTATTTATGTCATAGTACGACCTTCATTCAATGGCGTCGTTGGGTTTCTGTCCTCATATCGGACTTGGTTGGCCTCACCGATCATGACTTTTCATTAGAACTTCGCCAATCACCTCGCGAAGCTAGTTACCAATGAACGCTACACTGATTCAATTTGTTGGTTTTTAAGGATTTATTTGTTGATTTCAGGTTGGTATTCATCATGGACTGATATTAATTGGAGGAAAAATGGAAACCTGGGAGCATTGGATGGCTGTTTCGTCCCAGCATCGGACTCCTCAGAAGTGCGCGCCCATGACTTCACCCTTTGGCTATTGAACTCAGGTCCTTCAGGTTCAGTCCCTGATGAATACCAACCTGAAGACAATAACTAACTCCTCACAAACCCCCAAACTGATCAATGATTATTTGTCTGAAGAAAAGAAAGAATGAAAGAGATACTAATTTTTATATTCCTTGTCTAACGTGACCCTAAATATATAGGAGGTGTCTACCTGATCACTAAACTTACAAAATAATCTTTCACACAGGTTTAATGGTTTATATAAGTGCGTAATATTTAGTTCAACTGCGTCTTTGCTTTATTGAGGACTACCAGTGAGTATGACGTTTTCATTGTTACTCACTACCCGGTAATCTACCGTATAGGCAATCATTAAACAATAACGATTATACCTTATGCTACCTACAATTTGTGTCGCTGCTTCTCGACGTGACGAAGATTCCGTGCCTGAAGTATTCGAGGATGGAGACATTAAGGCCTTTCTAAGAGACTTCCAGTTGGTAGCAGAGCTGGTGGGTGTCCGAGATCCAGGAGCGAAGATTGTGAAGCTTAGCACGTTGCTGAGGGGTAGAGCGAAAGCAGCATATTACGTATGGGAAATGGGGATGGGAAGGAGACTTGGCAGAAAATGGTTGAACGCCTGGAGGTGGAGCTTGACAGCGCAGCGGACAGAGAGCTGGCAATGCAGCAGTTCCAGAGCATGAAACTCGGAACAGACGAAGATCCGCTGGTACTGGCTGTGAAGTTGACTAAACTACTTCGAAGAGCACTTCCCAATTCGGATGACGATTCCAAGACACAGTTGCTGGTTGCACAATTTACCCAAAGGTGTCCCGAACGCCATCACCCAGCACCTACGACTAGTAAACGCAGCCTAACCCATAGATAATAGAGAGCTGGCCAAGGTCACCAGACAGCTAGTGAGTACAGCAGTAGCTGCGGTGGAGTCACCATAGGTAAATAAGTGGTAGTTCCCTATGATTTCTGCCGCCCTCTCAGCATACACTACCTATATTCACTCTTATCAGTAACGCCCACTACACTATTACTTTCCTGGAATGCTCATATTCAGATGAATGATATCCTGTGCAGACTTTTTTTCTCAAAGAGTGTATTCAGAGATGATTAAATGTTAAAGAGCAATCTCGCTATCTGTAATGATTTCAGTAGACGTCTAAATGCTTTTCTGTCACCAAAATGCCCATCAGTCATCCGAAAGACACATTTCAAGACAGAAATTATATAAGCAGTGAGTAGAAGACTCCGATTAGTTACACATCCAGATCAGTTACCAGTAGTATACCAGTTAAATGTTGAGTGAAGTCATCTATCGGAATCGAATGCCTAATTAAATTTCAATCTTAGTTTAGTCAACCTTCATTATCATATTTTGCCAAACAGATTACAATGAATAGGAGGCTGGACCAGCATTTGCGTGTACAACAAAGCTGGTAATCATCGGTAAACTTGGAACTATTCACTTCTAGAAACTGAATTGCTTAAATCATGTAAATCTGCCTGAGTAACCTCAATGGGAAACTCAATAGATTTAATGAAGGTAAACTTGAGAAGTTATCATTAACAAGTAACGTGAGCTGTTACGTTTTTAGCGTAGTAATTTAGCGCATGTCTACACTTCACAGATATAATTTGGTAACTGCTTCAACACTACGGTTTTAGTGCTACAAACCTTGATCAACCTCATTCCACAACACCTATGTACTACACGAAGATGCTACATGCCAAATGATTAACAACATAAAGGAAAGCTCACTTATACCTTTGAAGTGAAGAAAGGAGTAAGACAAGATTGCCGCCTACTGTCACCGAACATCTTCATGATTGTGGTCGACTCAAGTGAGGAGTTAGAAGATGGGCATACATGGTTTACCGATGAAAAGACCCTAGAAGAAGATTGGCGTTTCACTGATGATGATTTGTGTCTAATGTGTAGTGTCATACAAAATCGAAGATCTACAGGCGAAAACTAACATCTTGGCAGAATGGGTTAGACGAGGCAGAGAGGGAATACAAGACTCCCTTCAGGTCAATCTAGAGAAGACACAGGTGATGAAGATACCCAACCAACAAAACAACCACAACAACAACAAGCACCAATCACCATGAACGGGAAGAATCTAAACGAAGTTGTCTCTTCCACATACCCACCTACACACCTGCCTAGGCAGCATCGTTTCAACTACAGGTGGTGGTGGTGGCGGCGACGGCACAGGAGGGGATGTCAAAGCCAGCCAGGATCCGAAACATATCAAGGCAAGACAGGTCTTCCTTCATCAATCTGAAATCAGTGTGCAGATCTACTGCGCTGCTCCGCACTGCACTGCACTCGGCAGAAGTCGTGAACAAAATCCGGATTTTCAACACTAATTCGGTCAAGTTCAAGTCAGTGCTTCCATGTGATGGTTGAAAGACTTGGAGTGTTACATCATCAACAGCTGGCACCTACACTCACTTGATACTGAAGGTTGAGATCAGATGGGTGGCCAGAATAATAAGAATAAGCAACAAGGAACTCTGACTGACAACGAACCAATGAAGCAAGAACCCATCGCTCAACAAATATGAGGGATTAGACATACAGTGATAAGACTGCTTGTGGACATTACGCGTCAGACAAGGCCCTTGAGTAGAACCGAAAACGGAAACGACGAATTGGGCGTGGGAGGGTGACATGGAGCAGATGGTATGAGGAAGAAATGGAATGTTATGGGAAGTCGTGGAGCCAGGTTGGAAAGACTGCAGAGAACTGGAAAGTGAAGTGGTGACGTGCTACTGAAGCCCTATGTTTCACTAGGAACTCAAAGGACAAATAATAATGATAAATTACACTTCACAGTACATCACATATTTCGTTTAATACTTCGAACACACTGTATATACAACATTCTATACATACCTTCGGTAGATCCAATAGTTCTTCTAAGTTCTTATTTACTGAACCAGTTGAATATCCACTATTGTTATTTTCACTCGTGTTCATAAACCTGTTCATCATCAAATCTCTTGGTATACTAGTATAAACTGTAAAATCTGATGGATTAATAACTTTTCTGCGCTTCATTGGTTTATTTTCTTCTGATAGGGGATAATAGTTTGGTCGAAGGATAGCTGCACCAATTGACGGTGCTGGACTAGGTGTTTCACCTCTTCCTATTAGGCAGAGTTCCTCTTCCTCCTCGGAATTATTATCACTCCCCTTATCACGATTATCGCTATCACCATTATGAACTTCAAAGTAGTCAGTTACATTGTTAGCAACATTCTGCATATTATTGAAATGATCAAAATCATCTGAAATGTCAAAAGACTTCGGCTTCACCTGTCTGCTTAAATTAGGTCGAAAAGATGAGGTTGTCCGCAGAGAATTCTGTGGATAAGAGGTGAATGAATGCTTTTCTGATTCACGTAATCCACTTGTGAATTCATTTGATAAAGAGGATTCTTGAATACACGTTGACAGAGGGCTAATAAAAAAAGTCAATAGAAATATATCACTGTACAAAACTGTGAATGATGTGTAGAAAAAAAGTAAAAGATTATCAAAGTATAGAATTTCATGAGAATGAAGTTGATTAACACCTGGTTTGAGTATATTCTAAGATAGTATTCATCACACATTGACACTAGTTGCAGAAACACTGAAAACCTGAGAGCATAAGACAACTTAGTATGGGACTATTCATGAGTGCGCATAAACTACCTAGTTAGGGCTTGAATACATGACAGTCAGGTCTAGTGGCAAGCCAATAAGCTGGAATGCAAGGGTCCATGTTTTTCTATTTCTATCGAACTGACAATGCAAAATTAGAAAATCATGTCAACAATAATTAGGTAATAGTTTTTAACTACTCATAAGTAGTTAAGCTAATACGTTAGAAATTTTCTGTAAACCATAAGAGAAATCTGTTTCATCATTTCATCGACTTCGCATTTTCAATCTGAAAACTATGTTACAACTAGTAAACGATGAAATTTCATTACGGTTTCTCCGCAGTCAGTTGTATTAGTATTGTTTTCAGAGTTTATCGAGTTATGTGATATTTTCATGCTTCCTGAAGTAATTCAATCTGAAGGTTTGTAGGGATTTATTGATATTAAATAAAAGGTTTTTCACGAACTAACATTAGTCAGAAAACCAATGAAAACCTGGAAACACTGGACAGCTATTTCATCCTCGTATGAGACTGCTTACCAGTACAAACTTGTGACTTGGATAGAGATCGAACTAAAGGCCTTCAGGTTCCGTAGTGGGCACATTATCATTGGGCAACTGGATCGACATTTTCTCAATTCTTACAGTTCGTGATATAGCGTGAACTTCATTCAATGACATTGTTCTGTAGCTACCTTGTATACGACTTAGTTTACCCCATCAATTATGGCTTTCATTAGAATTTCGGGAAATCTCATCTCGAAACAAGCCACGTATGAGTACTAGATAGCTACTCAGTTTGGAGGTTTAAGAATAATGATGGTATTTATCATGGAATAACTTATTCGTACAGTCAAAGGCTTTTATACAAGATATTTGACGTGTGTATCGAAGTTCAAGTGTATGTACTAGGCGAGATAACAAAAAAATTCCAGTATCCATGTGTTCACCCCCAAATGATGCAAACCGATGATGATTTATGTCTAATGTCTAATGTCGCACAAAATCGAAGATCTACAGGCAAAAACCAACAAGTTTGCAAAAGAGACAGGGAAGCAAAGGAAGACAAGACTCCCTTCAAGTCAATCTAGAGAAGACACACGTGATGAAGACACCCAACCAACAAAACAACCACAACAACAACAAGCACCAATCACCATGAACGGGAAGAATCTAAACGAAGTTGTCTCTTCCACACACCCACCTACCCACCTGCGTTGGCAGCATCATATCAACTACAGGCGGGCACAAACGAGGATATAAAAGCCAGCCAGGATAGGAAGCACATCAAGACAAGTCTGGCCTTCCTTCATTAATCTGAAATCAGTGTGGAGATCTACTGCACTGCTCCTCAGTGCGCTGCACTGCACTCAGCTGAGAGCGTGAACAACATCCGCATTTTCAACACTAATGTCAGTCAAGCTCAAGTCAGTGCTTCCATATGATGGTTGAGAGACTTGTCACGTTACGAAAAGCATTGCCAACAAACTGCACACACACACCACATCAACAGCTGGCGCCTACGCTCACTGGACACTGAAGATGGAGATCGGATGGATGGCCGGAATAATAAGAATAAGCAACAAGGAACTCTGACTGACAGCAAACCATCCGACCAAGAAACTATCGCCGAATAAATTTGCAGAAGAAGAAGATGGAGATGGATTGGATTGGGCATACAGTAAGAAGACCGTTTGGGGACATCATGCGCCAGCCCAGGTGCTCGAGTGGAAGCCAAATGGGAAATGACGAGTTTGGCGTCGGAGGTGAGGGTAACATGGAGGAGATGGTGTGATTAAGGAACGAAAGGTTCTGGGCAGTCGTGGAGCCAGGTTGGAAAGACTGCAGAGAACTGGAGAGTGAAGTGGTTATGTGCTACTGAATCCCTATGTTTCACTAGGAACCCAAAGGATAAATAATACTCAAACACTGATCCTAAATTAGATGGTCTTCATAGACAATTTACAATTACTGATATAGCTGAAGATAAGGATAAAATAATTTCATGTTAGTTGTCAAATCTGATCAAGTGTCAATGTATATTCTAACATCACGATCATCTGACTTTCGACGCTAAACTAAACTTGTCTACGCCAAAATTAGAAATTCTACTTAATATGAAATTTACTTCGCAGATAACTATTAAATACGACTATTGTTTTTATAAGAATCATCTTTACTGTACGCTGGATATTTTGAAACTGATAAAAATCTCATGAATATGTCAAGATGAATGAATAATTGAAATATGAATCAATTTCATGTTGGAAATGATGTAAAATTAAAAAAAACGTGAAGCTGCTAATGAACATCCCCCTAATTAGACCATTTAATGACACACAAATGGCCATAATAACAATTATAATAATCTTAGACAGTATAAATGTTTACCGTAAAGTATTATCATTATTATTATTGTCAATATTATTATTCCTGTTATTTAGAATTTTATCTCCACCACTGTTTCTTATTAAATAACGTTGTTTTTGCCGTATCTCATCAACTGAATATCCATTTACATTTTCGACATTTCCTTCAACATGATGATAATAATCATTAAGGTTAGGGAATTTCTGTATATTGGTACTCTATATTTTAAACAGAAAAAAAAACAATATAACGTAGATAATAAGTAGCCTATTAATTTAATTAATAATACACTATGGTACACATAAATTAGGAAATAATTTTAACGTTAATATGATACGTGATGAGATGATACGTTTGATATATTATTTCACGTTCAGTTAGTGATTTAGTCTCATTCATCATTATCGTGAACTAATTATTGAATAAAAACAAATGCAACTAAAAGATGACAAGTTGTTTATTTAATCAAAAGGTGAGTAAAAAGACTTTTTTATTTTCTGTAAAAGTTGACCTAGCAACTCTTCGATCATTTACTAGATGTTCTACTAACTATGCTACATTATTTAATTGTCAATCAGATATAGGAACAAGACATATAAGCGAATAATATTGTTTTCAATGAAAGATCCTCTTCAGGCTTTACTTTCATAGAAATAGTCGTCAGCGCTTTTTACTCTAACACACATTTCACTGTCTGTATATACCCCAATTTGAATTTGCTTGTGAAAGCAACTTACATAAATCGTATGGAAAGTTGTATGTCGACTCGTATCATTGACAATTTACATAAATGGTTGAGGCAAGCTGAATGAAAAATCATACGAAACACTTAATGAATTATTAAGATGATGTTGACGGCACTAAGACTTTCTAGGTGGTCAGCAGACAGAAGAATAAGAAAAGGTTTGGAATCGTGGAAGCATGTGCCATTCGATCTCGCTGACGGAGTGTATATGTACATAAAGAGATGGTGGCCACCCTAAATCTACCATGGTAGAAGTGTCAAAGTGTTTTGAATTTGTTTTACTTCTACTAATTTCTTGTTTTTCCCATTTCATTTCTTCCTCCACTTTGCATATTCACATCTCTTCACTGTCCTTATTCTACTGTAGTATCATGTTGTGTTGAAGTTCTCCCCCTTCATAGTTGAATGACTCATCTACATCCCTATTATGATTGTCACCGTTGTTCAAACAGCAACTCTAACCTCGTTCAATTTTATACTGTTACCAAGCTGCTCAATTGATGTTCATTATTTACCTTGTTTCAAAATCACATAATCTTCAATCTCTTCAATATTTATATCCTCACTATTATCATTACCATCGTTATCATTGGTCTTATTGCTTGTATTACACTGTCTTTGATTGGACCGAATTGATCGGTCTCTATTCACATATGGGTTCCTGTGTGGATGCCTCGATATTGCCTGTGTAGTTCTAGTTATACTAATAATGGGCAGTGGCTAGCAGTGGAATCCAGGATGCTCATTTCCTCCTATTTGAGAGTCACTGGTCAACTGGATGTATCTGCCTCCCAATGAGTGATGTTGTTCCCACCGGGATTCCCATCCTGGATTCCACTGCTAGCCACTAGCCATCATTACTATATATAATTAAAACACATGCAATATCAAGGCATTCACACAGGAGCCTATATGCTAATAGAAACCGATCTGTTAGGTCCAGTCAACGACGGTATAATGCAAGTAATTATGCTAATGATAACGTAATGATGATAGTGATGTTTCGAATCCTACGCAGATCAATATTTTCATTTCACCTTCAGTCATCACCCAGTATAAATACTAGTCAGTCAAACTACGGCTGCTATCTCAGATAGTCAGATGATGATAAACTTAATAATTAAGTATTCTCTGGCGAAAGGAGAGATAAGGGATATATAAACTTTTTCTGAGTACAAAGACTAGGATTATCAGCCCGAATTTTCAAAGCGTCTGCTTTGTGTAAAAGAAGAGTTTGAATACCTTGCGGAAGATAAGATGGTATGCAGTAAACAATCGTGAAAGCATTATTCTTATCTACCAAGTGATCACTATCAACAAGGTGAGATAAAACCAAACTTCTGATGGATTTTACCTGTCCCCTTCTCAACTATGAAGGTAGATGTGCAGCTACACGTCTGTTAAATTGTCTAGTAGTAAGCCCTACATAGCTTTCTTCACAAAAGCAGCTAAACTTGTAAATACACATAGAAATGGCAAAACTAGATACCTTGTCTTTAGTTTGAGCAACAACAATTAGTCGACTGAAAAATGATAAGCAGAGTCCTACGACATAGCAAGTCCTCTTAACCTAATTGAAAACAATATTCTTCACTCATACATGATGGGAGAATATTAACTCAAAAGTAATGCAGTCTTGGATTTTCTTCAGGAAGAATATTTTATGCCAGTCATCTAGTCTTATGCAACTAAAATCGTACTGATGACTTTAATTCAAAAAAATTAGCAGTGCAGGAAAATGTTCATAAAGCAATATCATCTGAATCAAGTTCTGAAGGATGTAAGAAATAGATGTGGTCAGCATGGATATATCAGATAATCACTGTGTCTTTCTAACAGATCATAAGCAGCTCTCAGTTGTATTGTGCTCTCTGAGCTTGGTAGTTTAATCATGAAGCTTTCATTATTTTTTTAGATAACATCATCAGCACTAACTTCAGTATGAAGTGTGCTGCCAATATCTTTCCGTGAGTGATTTAGTAGCTTGCTCTGAAAGACTGGTTTGTGACTGGTTGTTTCCTTTGATTGTTGTGTCAGTGACTGTATAGCTGTTCCTGTTTCTTGTTTCTCTGCTTGACCTCTGACCTTCCTATTATTTACTGTTCTTCTTGCTGGTTGATACGTTAGGTCTATGTCTATACATCTCTCCATTGATTAATGACTGACTGACCTGAATGCCAAGCTTCTAGGAATTCTCTGATATTCTTTGTGTTTCCTCCCTCCGTCCAGGATTCCTACATTGTCGAAATTGAATTCATTTCCACAGTTGTTATCCACGTCCATCGAAATTAGTAATGACATGTCATGTGTGATGTTTCATGTCTAATTGGTGTTCGTGTAAACGAAGGTGTAGAAGGTGACCCTTTTTGTTCAATGTAGTGTTGACTGTAGTTATTGCAGTAGATATCCAGTTTGTCTTTGCTTTTTGCATCCTTTGACGTCGGCATAATAGTGTTTGGAGAGAATTTGTTGGTTTATGAGGCGCCACATCAATTCCAAGTGGTCTCAGTAATCTTGTCGTGATTTATAATATATTCTTCATATAATGTGGGATGGTCCACTTGTTGATTTCTGTCGATGACTTTGTAGTTGTTGATGTAAACGGGATAGGCATTTTCTGATAAAGTTTCATGGACATTAAGTAGTTTCCTTTGTTACTCCGTGAAGTCGTTGTACTACAGTATGTTCTCGCTCTTTTGAATAGACTCTGTACGCAACTAATTTTGTGCGTTGATGGGTTGTTGCCACTGGAGTTGAAGATATTTGATCAGTATGTGTTGGCTTCCTGTACACATGGGTTTCCAGTTTTCTGACATTTATCGTACTGATTAAAACATCCAGGAATGGCAGTGGTTGTTTGACTCTTTCTCAATTATGAATTTGATGTCACTGAAAACGTTATTCATCAAACTATGTGTGTTTTGTATATCATCCTTTTTGATGATGGCAAAAGTATCGTCCAAATAACGAATTTATATTTTGGGTCTGATCACAGGTTAAGTAATAGCTTCCAGTCTGTGCATCACTGCTTCTGAAATTAACTCACTTCATACTGAAGTTAGTGCGGATGATGTTGTCTAGAAAGATGATGAAAGCTCTATTATTATGCAACCCAGCTCAGAGAACACAATATACCCGAGACCATCCATCTGAGCTACAAATATTGTCCACTATTTCAGAGATCGTCAGCAAAGGAGGTGAAGGAGGAAAATGGACATACTGGTACTCCTGAACACTCTTATTTAAACTTTAGCGTTCATATGCGATGCACCAACTAGCTACTGAGTTGGATATCATTACAATTAGGAACCAATTGATCTCTTACAGATAAATCAAACTATAATTCATATTCCTAAAGACTATCCATCCCATTGTAGTATACAATATATCCTTACAGATTCACTTAATATTTGTAACTAAAGCACTAAAAAATAATTATGGAAAGATGTCTGTTACAGGCGATTTACAGAATGTAATAACCGTAATGCAATTAAATATATCAGTGATTGCCATAATTCACTTTCTTGCCATATAAGCGCACATTGAAACATATAACAAACATTTGAAGGAAGTAATACTTCTGATATCAGTATAACACATTCACAAATTAATCGTTTCATGAGATTTATTTCAAACTGATTGGATAGGGTATACACTTACATTTCTTTCAATCAATTTATTCATATCATCATTACCTACATTATCATTGTAACCAACATCATAATCATCTTCATGACTGCCTTGATTAATTGTTGGCAATAAAATTCGTCTGTTTATTGAATTTAAATGATCTTGATTAGATAATTGTGATGTATTACTTCTTAATCTATCATTATTAGTTGATGATAATTTATGATTTGATAATTCTGATGAAAATTGAAATGGTTCATGTGATGATTTTTCAATATCTATACTATGTGAAATTTCTGATTGACGTCTTGAACTACCAACACGTTGTATAACATTCTTCATAGAATCCAATAAACTATGATGCTGAAAAGTATATTAAAAGCAATGAAATTTCTCTTAGATTAAGTGGTGTTTATCACAAAAGATAAATAATACTAATTGTCATTGATTTTAGTGAAAATCTTTGACAATAATATTCATATCTATACTCTTTGATCACTAGAAGGAAATTAATTTCATATTCTCTAGTTTTAAGTGCTAATCGGATTCAATAGATCATTTTACAATGTGATCATGAGGTTTGTTAACTCAATATCGTGATGCGCTTTTGATAGATGTTAGTTGGATGGAAGCAATTAGTAAGAAGTCTTGATTGAACTAGGTTTTGCTCTTGTTGACACTCATCAGTAAAGCGTATCTGTAACCTAGATGGAACTAATGCCTCCTATGAGATTCGAACGTGCGTAACTCAGTGTTGGAGTTAGCGGCGTTACTGCTGAACTATTCGGGTCACGACTAACCTCCTACGAAACTGCAGTACACACACTGATCGATCATTGGAGAGTAATCAGTCTCAAATCTGTATCATTCGCATAACTTTCAATATATATCATTTGAGTATTATTCGTCTAGAGAATACCATTCTTTTTCTTCTCTATACCTATACTTTGTGAGGTGAATAGTTCAATAGTCAGTGTAGTAACTTTTAGTTGACTGATAAAATGTCACTACTGTAGTACTTAATACTTGCTTACCAGTAATATTTACTTTAAGCACAAAGTTGTTACAAAATTGGCATCAAGACATAAACCATACACAGTAGTAAAAAAAGGAGAGGAAAGGAACGGGGACAAAAGGGAAATGAATTGTTCAGAAAACAGTCTCCAGTGTGAGGATAAAGTTTGGGTACTATGATGTGATGTAATCCTATATCAAGTTAGTTTATTTCATATAGCAAGCACAGTGATATAGTACTACTTACTAGATGATGCGCTTCTTTCAAGGCCATCTTTAGAATGTCATCGATGGCAAAGTCAAAAAGAAATGGTGAAGTCGGATAGCCCTACCCAACGAAACTATTAGTGTGGGACAGTAAACACTAATGGCTGGAAGCTTCCACACTATCGAAGGTGTTAACGTATAGGGCTTTGAAGATGTTACCGAAATTCTCAGGGATAACTCTTTCCAACGGAAGACTTCACAGAACAACCCTGTCTAACAAATCAAGGCCGTCTCTAATCTCGAAGGGTATAATCATCGTCAGCCTGCAATATGTGTGACGGTGTTGAAGCATCTGGAGTAGGATGAACACATGAACAATGTTTCCACGACCTGAACGAAAGAAAACTCGCCTCTCATAGTGGAAAATCCAGGCCTGTACTGCATTCCTAAACAAAGTAATCAGTCGCCTTACTACAATTTCACCTATATCCCTAAAAAGAACCGAAGGTAGATTGTCTTTAACATTTAATTTAAGGTATTTTAGTTCTTGGAGTGACTCACAGATCTCCACTTTCTTAGGCATATTGGGGTTAATCAACAATGGGAAACAAGATACCTACGGTAGATTTAATGGGGTAGAAGGTCGACCGAAATTCATTTCAAATTTCTACACTCAGCTTTCTAGGTATGTAGGGAATTTAATGATAAGTGTACCTACTAATTCACAGACCGTCTTACTGGTACCACGTTTGCTGCTATCGGTCTCTGATACGGACTGGAACAGCTCTCAAATACTGTCGAATTTTGCTGCTACTGCAGTTTCTTCTGAGGACCAGTCGTCGTGGTTCTTAAAAACGTATTACGTAAGTTTTTGCAAGAGCGAACGACTCATATCATTTTAACTCTACCTACCAGAATACACTGATATTCATAAAGAAGTTGCAAGGAGCTAATAGATACCTATCAGTTGTTAGCTGGAGTTTATTCGAAGCTGCAAGTCATTTAGTTTATCATTTTGCTGACATCCTGTAGGCGCAGTCAATGCTCATCTATTCTTTCTAGAGGTTACACCGTTAACCTTGAATCTAGCGTGATTTAAAATTTAAGTAAAATATTATAAGCAACCAATTTGTCTTTAATGATCCTTTTAAGATAACCATTTTCATAACCACCAAAATGCAAGATAAACTAAACACAAAATAAAGCGTAATTAGGGACCAGACGGGTGTTCTAGAAGTAGTGGTTGTCCAAAATATAACTATCATATCGGAAGTTAACAAAGATTTACTGGAAACTTGCGCTGGTTAGAAAAAGGGTTTTGACTTACGTAGAGCTACAAAAGATCATCTTCAGTATCAAACGTCCAACTGACTAATCCACATTAATAATTTAAGTGACTCTTGTCTCAGCCTAGACGCCTAACTTATGCATTCCAGCCCACACCTAGCCTTACAATAACTGTCGGGTGCACTTGTTAAAGAAGGTCACCCAACTGATTGCAGAAATCATCTAAATTCAGGTTAAAGGCTTTCAGAGACATCAATTCTCTTGTCATTTACTCGTCAATCCAATCGAAAGTTCCAACTGGATAGGAAATATAAGACTGTTTGTAGGAATCCAAACGAGTAGTGCAGGTTCAAGTGTGATTTTTAATGAAACACCAACATAGCTGGCTGATAGCGCCACACAGTATGCAGATGATTGCTGAGTAAAAACACTCTCGAGTTAATATATAAAGAAGTGATTCGAGGCACAGCGCTCAAATCTTAAATACAAGTCTCTGAAATACAGAATGCATCAATAGCTAAACTTTTCAAAGTTCGAATAGAAACTGTCAGCTTTCCAATCTAAATCATGGTCTGAACTATAATCACGGTCAGCTTAAATGGTGTGGATGGTTTCAAAACAGCTAGGTCAGTTGTCACACTGAAGGACAGCTTTCTAGAGACAAGTGTTTACCGAATGAAGATGGTCCCGAGAACCGAGCAGTTGTTTGAAAGTAAAGTACATATAAAGATGAATTTGAAAATGACGAAAAAGAGACATTGTACCTCAGATGTAGAAATTATGACGATATAAATGACAACCAATAGAATATCTTAGTAGAAAGTTCGTTCCACAATGAATTTTGTTTCTTAAAATAAGGTTTGGTGAATGTTTTGTAATCAATATTGTTAATGTTGACAGGAGAAAGATTAAAATATTAGTCAAGTAACTTTTAGTCCATATATTTTCCTATATATTAATGATGGATAGTGGCTTGCGGTGGAATCTAGGATAGGCGTTTCGTCCTATTTGGGATTCGTCAGCTGGATGTAGTTGCCTCCCAGGGAGAGATATCTTTCCTACAACCTTCACCTCTTGTGCGACGAGTATAAAAGTGCAAACAATACAAGTAACAACATAAGTTTATTTATTTCCAAAGGCTATTTTTATGCTGAAGTATTTTTACGGTATAAGTTCTTGCCTAAACATTCATCTGGTCTCTTAATTAGAATTTTATGTCTTATCGTGGCAAAGTGATGGAGAAATAACTTTAGGTCACTTCCTTCCTTTGTGAATTAAACACCTTCCTCGTGATTTCGTAACTTTTGTAACTTTTTGTTACCTGTATTTTATATGTCTGCAAAAATGCATTAGATATAAAGGTACAAATGACTACCGGTAAAAGGCTTGTGATATTCCATTGTTTATTCCTTCAGTCCAGTGACTCAAGCGCGGGAAAGCAGAGATGACTGAGATAATAGTCAAACAATAAGGCGAATAAAATACATAGAACTAAACTACGAATAAAGTGGTTTGCAATGAATTTTTCAATGGTTTATTAGTTGATGTTTGTTCGTGATAAAAAATTACTATTGAATAAACCCACAGTTGAAAATTGATTGCATACATCTTTATAACATTCTCAGTGCATAGTGAAAGCATCAAATAGGCACTTTTGAGGTTGCTTGCAAAGATTCATGTAAAAAAAACACTCCAGTAGATAAATTTTGGCAGAAATCATTGGAAAAAATGACAGACAGCTATATCATGCTTGATGGCATACCAAATAGTTCTGTATGTGATAATGGCTGGAGAAGGATTAGGTCAGCGTGAGGTGGAGTATGGTCTATGTAAAAACGTGGTATTAATTTACTCTTATTTGACTTATGTAAGGACAAATAATCTGCATAACTGAGGTTTATCAGACCTTACAAGTCAGTTATTGGTGACCATTAGTGAAAGAACTCAGAGTTGACAGCACTCCATCTGTTTCAAAATCTTTTACACTTTATGAATGTTTATTTATTTACATCCTCTCCATCTACCTTTATTTCAATTGATTATACCCATTTTTATTGTTGAGAGTTTCTTTGTCGGTATTGCTTTACATTTGTCTTCTGATAACCTCTGAAGAAATATAATGCAATATCAAAGTATAATGAATCTTGTGAGGCTAAATTACTGAGAAGGTGACTGAAAATATGTCTTTTTCATTGACAGAGATGATACAGTCGGATTTCGACTCACCTACACCCATTTTATAGTTCACTTTTTTCTTCAGAGATATAAATCAACACCACAGAAGTTGGTGGCACTGGAAAACTATTCTTGTGTACAATAACTTCCTATTTAGCTAGCTTGTGAATACTAATTGGTTTGTAAACAGTAATTAATATCATCTTATTTAGTTTTTATAATAAGCTAATCATTACTGACTGTATTCTACAACAAAATACTTAATTTCATCGAAGAGATAGCCAACTTAGACTACTATTATTTGTCCCTTGGGTTCCTAGTGGAACATTGGGATTCAGTAGCATGTCAACATTTCACTCTCCAGTTTTTTTGTAGTCTTTCCAACCTGGCTCCATGACTGCCGAGAAGCTTTCATTTCTTAATCACACCATCTCCTCCATGTCACCCTCGCCTTGGACGTCCAACTCAGTGTTTCCTATTTTAATTCCACTCGACGGCCTGCCCTGGTCTGTCGCGTGATACCCTCAAACCATCTTCTCAGTTTGTGTCCAATCCAATCCATCTCCACTTTCGCCTGCATATTTGTTGGGCAATAGTTTCTTAGTCGGTTGGTCCGTTGCCAGGTTAGAGTGAGTTCCTTGTTGCTTATTCTTATTATTCCGGCCATCCATCTCATCTCCATCTTCAGTGTCACCAGCTGTTGATGTGGTGTATGTGCAGTTTGTTGGCAATGCTTTTCGTAATGTGACAAGTCTCTCAACCATCACGTGGAAGCACTGACTTGAGCTTGACTGACATTAGTGTTGAAAATGCGGATGTTGTTCACGCTTTCAGCTGAGTGCAGTGTAGTGCAGTGTAGTAGATCTCTACATTGATCTCAGATAAATGAAGAAAGGCCTGACTTGTCTTGATGTGTTTCCTATCCTGGCTGACTTTGACATCGTTATCTGTGCCGTCACCGCCACCACCTGTAGTTGATATGATGCTGCCAACGCAGGTGGGTAGGTGGGTGTGTGGAAGAGACAACTTCGTTTAGATTCCTCCCGTTCACGATGATTGGTGCTTGTTGTTGTTGTGGTGTTTTGTGGTTGGGTATCCTCATCACGTGTGTCTTCTCTAGGTTGACTTGAAAGGAGTCTTGTCTTCCTTCGCTTCCCTGTCTCTTTTGCCAACTTGTTGGTTTTTGCCTGTAGATCTTCGATTTTGTGCGATGCAAACCTTCATCTAGGGTCTTTTCATAGGTCGAATAGCGTATTCCTCTCTTCTTACTCCTCACAATTGTCTGTTGCATGATCTAGTCCAGTCCAGTTGAGTTGACAACAATCAGGAAGATGATCGGTGACGGTAGGCGGTAAACTTGTCTTACTCCTGTATTCACTTCACTTCAAAAGTATCACTGAGCTTTCCTTTGTGTTGTGAATCACTTGACATGCGGCATCTTCATATAGCATATACGTGTTGTGGTATGAGGTTGATCAAGGTTTGTGGTACTAAAACCATGATGTTGAAGCAGTTTTCAAATTACTTCTCGACCGACGCTGTAAAAGGAGTCAATTTAAACCAAAATACCTAAATAGAAATATCTTTATGCACCAATTACTTAAAATCTTTAGAGTATAAATTTTGAAGTCGCAGAAAGGTTTTACTGGAGAACGTTGATAGAACCAAGATGTTAGTTCTCTGCTGTTTACTGTGTTCAACTATCTAGTACTGAAAGTAGTATAATCTGACTGATGATGAGTTACTCATACAAGTAGGTATATTAGAAACTGGATTTATGTTATTTATTCGACGATGAAGATAAAATCACTGGATATCAGTTTTCGCTGAAAAAATAGATAAATATATATAATCTTTCTTAAGATTACTCAAGGCTATGAAGTCAAACGTTTATTTGTTAAACATTATATGTTGATCAAGAAGGTTATGACTTAGAATTCTTCCAAATGGGTTCTAAGTGAATTTGAAAGTTTTTCAAGATGAGTGATAATGGTGTTGGATATTTAGAGAGTTCATATTGTACTGAGTAAGAGTGAATTGTTTTGAAGTGTATGATAAAAAAAGGTGAATTGATAGAGTTATGAAGTAAATATGATATTATCCTTATCAAATGATTATGTTATATTTCCTCATAGTAAACAAACACTTGTAATCTGTAAGAGTCACTTTATCTACAAATCAATAAAGCTGAAAATCATACATTACAAAAAATTTATGTTTCAATCATCCAGATTACCATACAATTTACTACTTGGGATAGTTCAAGTAGCAATCCTAACTTCAGTACAGTTTTATATTTTACGTACCTTTACTTAAAGGTTTAAAAAACGATTGATATTATAGAACATCCATTTTCAACTTATCTACAATTGAAGTTTGAGGGAGTTGTGGGGATTTGGAAATATTTCAAGTTGCTATTCATCATAGGCTGACATCAGTTAGAGGAACAAAGGAAACTTGGCAGCACTGGACAGCTGTTTCGTCCTAGAATGGGACTCTTCAGCAGTGCGCACTTACGACCCGCTACCTTCAGGTTCCGTGGATAGCACATTACCATTCAGCCACTGGGTCAGAATCCAAGAGTCCATATTTCCAACTTCTGTTAGCTCACGATATAGAGCAACCGCCACCCAACTTACACTACAGGCTCGTTCAAACTGAATTCTTGAAATGAAAATGATTCATTCATACATTTACTTTTGTACAAACTGGTAGATATTTGAAAATTACTACTAATAAAATAATGACATGAATTTTATGCCTTTTTCATGGTACAGTAAAACTGTAGTAGGCGTTGCTGATCAGTATGGATATAAGTAGTATATGTTGACAGGGAAGCAGAAATCATAGACATTTACCAGCAATGGGTGAAGATTTTGCCCAGAGAAACGTAAGAAACAATGTGGGCTTATTGGGAGCAAATTAAGATGGAAGCAGAAGAAGAAATGAAGCACATTATGCAAATGACTGTCTTAGTGTAAGGTGGACCATATTTGATAACAACACTATACAATATGTCAATAATTTACATTTCTTCCTGCGTTTCAGTCTTTTCATTTCCTATAGTACATTTAGTTTGCATAGGAAAATATAAACTCATGAATAAAAATTATTCGTCAGAGGAAACAATTTTCTTTTGTTCAAATATTTTAGTTCTATACGTATATCACTTACTGTGTCACCATCTCCTATACTATCAGAGCTTCCTCGTTTACTTGTTTCTTCCGATGGAGGTAATAAACTGTTTGTTACATTATTTTGTGTTTCCAGAAGACTATTCATCGGTCTACCGAAACTCTTGAAAACATAAACATGTTAAGAAAAAACATATATGGCTGTAATATACTTTGAGGTTTATGAAAATTTTATTTCTTTTTCAAGGTAGTATTCATCGTGGACCAACAATAGTTGGAGAACAATTGGCGTTCATTGGTGATATGCTCCAAAGTGGATGTTCTAAAGTTTTGATGAGAAGCTATGACTTGTCGGGTCAACCAGTCATCAGAGAAGTGAATGCCGATTTAAAACCATAAATCACGTTATATCGTGAATTGACGGTTATGATTTCGACTACCTGGCGGGGTGATGGGTACATACTCCTGAAGAGTCCCATTTTAAGACGAAAGTGCTGTCCAATGTTTTTAGATTTTCAATTGTTCTCCAACTGATATCACTCAGAGATGAATACTACCTTTTAACAAATACAGATTTATTAAATGTATACAAATTCTCCACCATAATCCCAGTAATTATTACTCTGGTTGCAAATTATTGATCAGTTTTTACAAAGTAAGGAATGCTATGTCCCAAGTCCTCTGAATAGCTCAATAACAACGAAGTGTATTGTATTTCATTTTTCAATGATCAGAAACCATAACAACTCTTGCTAGGTGTGATGTTTGATTTACTATATTATTATTTGTCCCTTGGGTTCCTAGTGGGACATACACCTTCAGTAGCACGTCTCCATTACACTCTGCATTTCTCTGCAATCATTTCAACCTGGCTCCATGACTCCCCAGAACCTCTCATTTCTTCCTCACACCATCTCCTCTATGTAACTCTCGGACACCCTCGCCCAACTTGCCGTTTCCCATCTGGGTTCCACTCAAGTGCCCTGCGCGTGATGTCCTCGAATGGTCTTCTTAGTGCATGCCCAATCCATCTCCATTTCCTTCTGCATATTTGTTGAGCGATAGGTTCTTGGTTGGTTCGTTGCCAGGCCACAGTTCCTTGTTGCTTATTCTTATTATTCTGGGCATATGAACTTCAGTAACGAGCCAGCGTAGGCAGTTGTTGATGAATATCTGTAGTTTGTTGGAAGTGATGTTTGATGGCTGAAGATAAAATCTTAAATAATGAATTTACTCAGGCTTATTAACGATGTGTTGAAATGAGAAAAAAGAAAGATTTGTTTCAAAGCGTAATGACTAACTTGATGAGATAGCAATAAGATATGTTGTTCATATCGAAGTAAGGGCTAATGACTTTTATTTGGAAAGATGGTTAGACCATCTAGCTTATAAAATACGTGTGCAGCACAGACCTAACCGCCAGATAAACGATTAGGTCACAGTCTAGGGTATTTGTCTGTCTACGTGTGTGTGTGTGTGTGTGAACACACATGAATAAGAAGGACTAAACAAGATGTACACTTGACGGTGGTGAAACCGAAATGGCTATTAAAATAGCTTGGTTTGCAAAAACCGATAACCTTGGACGGCAGGTAATCATCTTCCTCCACTTTATTATATCGGTTAATTTTAATATAATCTCAGCGTGTTTATAAAATCGCAAACAAGATTTTTCTGAACGTTTTACTGTGTATGCCAGAATATTCTAAATATTCTACTATAGAAGCTGTGGCATACACAGCGAAACGTTCAGAAAAGTCTTATTTACGATTTTCTTAACACTCTAGGATTATGATAATTTGATTAGTTGTGGCTAGCAAAAGAATCCAGGACGCGCATTTCGTCCTATTTAAGACTCATTGGCCAGCTGGATGTACCTGAATCCCAGTGATGTTGTTCGCACTGAAACTCGAACCTCGTACCTGTCGCTTCAAACGCCAAGGCGTTATCCACTATGCATTGGAGGAACGATAGCCACTTCTTGTACAACGTATTATATTAAAACGTACTTATATAGTGAATCAACTTGACTCAGCTGTCAACTTCTTTCAGGACATTCGTAACAACTATGACCTGAATATTAATAAAACACATTATTCATCCGGACTATAGGAATGATATCAAAATAGCCTTTACAATTTTGTATAGAAAATTTATGCAGCATACACTTAGATTTAGTGAAGTGCTAGTTACGCGTAAATATAAGACTCTACTGTATGGCCTAAATAAAATTTTCTTTTAAGCTACACGTACTTCTATAATATCCGTCTTATTCTCTATTTGCCAAGGCTGATTTAGAAAACCAATTAGTATTACTTTATTCAAATTATCATTATATTAATGTTACATTTGATTCCTTTCAACGTCTATTTTTTTTTTCAATATAAAATGCCTTGAAAAGCATTGTCGATCAGACATAGACAGCGAATGAATCGCATTTTTCAAATACACTACTACACCCTCTAATTACTGTTATAATTTACTTGATGGTGGCTAGCAGTTGAATCTAGAGTACGAGTTTCATCTTATTTGGAACTGAGCAACTGGATGGTGGTATTCTCACTGAGATCAGATTCCTGCACCTATTGCTTCAAACACTGAAGCATTATCTATTAGGTTAGTAACGTCCAACAGCCCCCCTACAATGCTATGGGAGTTAGTATCAACAAATGAATACTCTCCTAATTACCATGTCCAAATTCAAAAAACGCACTAATTATTTCAGATATATTTATTATTGTCTGTAACAATTCAAAAGAAGATGCAAGGTTTCATGCTCAGTGTAAAAATATCCCATTATTCATACATTCAAGCATGAAGATCTACAGGTGGAAACTAACAAGTTAACAGAAAAGGAAGGGCAGCGAAAACAGGACTTCAAGTGAATGTAGAGAAGATGGAGGTCAGGAGGATACCTAACCAACAACAACAACAACAGCAAACACTAATCACCATTAACAAGAGTAACCTGAATGAAGTAGTCTCTTCCATCTACTACCTAGGCAGCATCCTTTCAACTACAGGCGGCAAAGGCACACATGAGGATGTCAAAGTCAGCCAGGCTCAGAAAGACACCAAGACAGGCTTTCCTTCATCAATCTGAAATCAGTGTGGAGATCTGCTGCACTCCACTCAGTAGAAAGCATGAACAACATCCGGATTCGGATTTTCAACACCAACATCAGTCAAGTCAGTGCCTCTATGTGATGGATGAGAAACTTGGCGTGTCATGAAAAGCACTTCCAACAAACTACAGACATTCATCAACAGCTGCCACCTACACTCACTCGATACTGAAGATGGAGATCAGATGGATGGCTAGAATGATAAGAATAAGCAGTTAGGAATTCTGGCCTGTCGACGAACCAACCAGAAATCTACCACCCAAGAGATGTGAAGGTGAAAGTGGAGATGGATTGGGCATGCACTGAGAAGGCCGACTGGGGACATGAGGTGCCAGTGTAGTTAGGTAGTCGAGTGGAATGCAGAGGGAAACGACGAGTTTGGCTTCCGATGCGAGGGCGATATTGGAGTAGATCATGTGAGGAAGAGATGAAAGGTTGTGGGCAGTCATGGTGCGAATTTGAGGAGACTGTAGAGAACAGAGTGAAATGGAGATGTGCTAGGAACCCAAGGGACACATAATAATAACAATAATTCATTCATTACTTTCGAAATAAATATTGTGGCGATAACACAATGAAGTTGTGATTGGCATGTTTTCAAATTTTCTATGGACTACTAATTCAATCCAGTTTATCAATACAACTTATTGATGAGAAGTAAAACGTGTAAAAATACGTTTCGCTATAAATGTTTGAAATGAAACTCAATGCACTTCAGTATTATTCCATATCATTCAACTTGAGGATAGAATCGTATCAATAGGCTTTCATCTTACAGCTACGTTGTTCACGTACATGGAAATAATGCACGTCTTTACAGAGGTTCTTTTTGTCGGCCTTAAGTAAAATTCAATTCGATGGTGTTCAATCACTTGTCACTACGATTAAATTTTTCACTATAATAAAAACGGAAAACTAAAACATATTTTCGGTTAGAAATCATATAGCAATTAGTAAGAAATAAAAAGATTTAATTGCAGAGAAATGTTGCCCTTCATACTTACTTTGAATGGCATAATTGAATGCCTTTTACACTGAAATGTAGAAAATGTAAATAATACACTATTAGTATGTGTATCTGGAAGGAGAAAGTTTAAATCAGCAATAAAGTAATGAAAACAAACCCTATAGGTAGGTATAGAAAAAGTATTGAAGTCAACCAGACTTTAAAGTAAGTGGCATTCTAAATGAAGCCTTATACTACATATATTGAGGAGTATGTTACTTTGCAGTATCTCAACCGATAGCTGCTACAGTTACTTGGTGGTCAGACTTGAATATCACAATATACTCAGCGATTTATACTGGTGGAACGCCTGTTCTCTCAATCTCCTATCATACCGAAAAGGTCTGTTCAGTAGCATTTACAATTAAAGTGTATACTACGATGCTATGATGGGGTTTTGAGGTAGCTGGACGGAATTTTGACAAAAGCAAGGTGTCTCTTGGATAACTAGTTGTACCACGTTAATACTACCCTAGAAATAGTACACTCCTACTACCTTGCAGTATACCGATGCTAGCGACATAGGTCTATAGTCGGATTCAAAAACAACAACCAAAATCACAAACTTTCAGTGTCAATTTCATTTGTCTTATAATGAAATTATCGTAATCAGTGATTTGACTAATTAAATAATGAATTTCACTCCTAAATGAATATGAACTGGTAAGATTATTGTAGAATGGATGACAACGATGTACTATATTTTCTTTTTCTGAACGTTGAAATGTTTTCTGTTGTTGTGCTCTTTATCTTCTTACTTTTTTTCTATCTTATAGTCATTTATAACCCTTTCATGAGATCTCTGTCTTCACTTTCATTGAATTTCTTTATCACATACAATCAAGCAACCTGACTGAACTGAATCGAAATAACAATAAATCCTTAATATTTCGAGATAAGTGGGGATTCTATTTTTTAAGGTAGCATTCATCATGAACTGAGGTTAGTTGGAGAACCATTAGTTTTCATTAGTGACATGATTCTAGATGGATATCTCAAAGAACTAATGCGCAGGCGTCGAGTATGGCTTCAACCAATCAAAAGTGATGACCTTTATGGTAGTCGCGCTATATCCAGAATCAACAGAAGCAAGAAACTGTGAAATACTGAACTCCTCCACCTCCAATAACAGAATACCTAGCCCGTTCACTATGAAAATTGAGTCTTAAGTTCAATCCTTAGCCGAGTGGCGGGTGGGTACTGCTCAGGAGTCCTATAGTAGAACAAAACAGCTGTCCAGTACTCCAGTATTATCAACAGTTCTTCAAATGATGTGAGTCCATAATGAATGCTACCTTAAAAATGAATCCCAGACTACTGATATCTGCTTATTATTCTTTTTCTTAGTACTAATTTTTAAAGCATGACATGACTAACTACTTTGACAAACCACTTCCTTATCTTTCCTTAAGTTTAATGGAACATTGTTCTTTGTGTTTTACCTTTCGTAAAAGTGTGCCTTAAAGTTAAAACATTGTCCAGTATTATACTCATTCAAACCGATTAGAAAACCAATTGTGGGTTAGAATCTAACTGGACAGATAATTTTCACAAAACATTTTTTTTCATTTCAAGTTTTTATTTCACAACAACCAAATTAACATCAGTAACAGTCGGCATTATCGAGGCATCTGCATGGGAAGCCATATGTAAACAAAGGTGCAACAATTCCATCTAATAAACAACGGAGAATTACAAGTATGACAATAAAAAGATGCATTTAAATTTCAGATTGACTTTTTCTTATTATTTATTATTTTTTCCTTGGATTCCAAGTGGAACGTACGACTTCAGTAGCACACCTCCATCGCACTATATTCTCTACAGTCTCTTCAGCCTCGCTCCACAACTGCCCACAACCTTTCATCTCTTCCTCACATGATCTACTCCAATATCGCCCTCGCATCGGAAGCCAAACTCGTCGTTTCCTCTCTGCATTCCACTCGACTACCTACTACACTGGCACCTCATGTCCTCAGTCGGCCTTCTCAGTGCATGCCCAATCCATCTCCACTTTCACCTTCACATCTCTTGGGTGGTAGTTTTCTGGTTGGTTCGTCGACAGGCCAAAACTCCTAACTGCTTATTCTTATCATTCTAGCCATCCATCTGATCTCCATCTTCAGTATCGAGTGAGTGTAGGTGGCAGCTGTTGATGAATGTCTGTAGTTTGTTGGAAGTGCTTTTCATGACACGCCAAGTTTCTCATCCATCACACAGAGGCACTGACTTGACTGATGTTGGTGTTGAAAATCCGAATCCGGATGTTGTTCATGCTTTCTACTGAGTGGAGTGCAGCAGATCTCCACACTGATTTCAGATTGATGAAGGAAAGCCTGTCTTGGTATCATTCTGACGCTGGCGGACTTTGACATCCTCATGTGTGCCTTTGCCGCCTGTAGTTGAAAGGATGCTGCCTAGGTAGTAGATGGAAGAGACTACTTCATTCAGGTTACTCTTGTTAATGGTGATTAGTGTTTGCTGTTGTTGTTGTTGTTGGTTAGGTATCCTCCTGACCTCCATCTTCTCTACATTCACTTGAAGTCCTGTTTTCGCTGCCCTTCCTTTTCTGTCAACTTGTTAGTTTTCACCTGTAGATCTTGGAGCTTGTGCGACAAGACATTTGACATGCATCATCATCGGCGAAATCCAAATCTCCTTCTTGGGTCTTTGTCTGTTTATCGCTTCAGGCAGTGTGTGCTCATCTTGTCACTCCTCATGGTTCGCTACATTATTCAGTCGACCACAATCAGGAAGATCATGAATGACAGTAGGTGGCAACCATGTCTTACTCCTGTCTTCACTTCAAAGGCATCACTGAGCTTTCCTTTGTGGATCTTTGAGTTTGAGGGTTTATGAGGATTTAGAGATTTTTTCTTGAAGTTGGTATTTATCATGGACTGACATCGGTTAGAGGAACACTGGAAACTTAGGAGGACTGGACAGCAGTTTCGTCCTAGGATGGGACTCTTCACCAGTGCGCCCCCACGATTTCGTCAGGAATTGAAGCCAGGACCTTGATGTCCCGTGACAAGCAAGTTACCATTTAGCCACTGGGTTGGGATCCAATGGTATATTTCTTATTTTTGTCAGTTCACGATATAGCGCGACAGCTACCCAATGTCCTCGTTGAGTATGTGTCCTCATGGCCTCCAGGTTTGTCCCATTGGTCACGAGTTCAGGTTTTACTCTAATACAAATATCCTAATATATAAAGCTGAAGGTCGTGGGTTCGACCCCTTGAGGGGTCGTAAATGCGCACTATTGAAGAGTCTCATACTAGGACGAAACTGCCGTCCAGTGGTCCCAGGTTTCAAATGTTCCTCCATATGATATCAGGCTACGATGCATACAAACTTGAAAAAGACTGAATCTTTGTTTATCGAATCAACATGTAATACATGCAACAGGAATAACTCAGCACCTGTCTTCGATATACGGGAAATCTTGCTATCGGTTCCATAAAGTGGGCGAAGAAATTAGGACAATATAAAGGATATCTCAAAGTCTCATGGATATCTTGATATGACTATGGACAATAAATTATTTCCGAAAAATCATCCACTAAGTAATACTGCCACACTGTTACGTTGACTTTGGTGAGTAGCAAAGAAGTCTAGGACACGCGTCTCGTCCTATTTGGGATTTGTCAGATGGCTGTAGCTGCACCTTAGTGAGTGGTGTTATCCCCACCGAGACTCGAACCCAGTAACTGTTGTTATGGATTAGTGTGTACAAAAAGATAGTTGAGTTTTTCAATAAATTAGTCATCTTAGTATGGTCTGCCATGTAAGTTTTGTTAAATTTTTGTGTGGATGGGATAGGGTGACAATTCTGAAATTCAATATATATCTAGGTACTGGGATAGAATCTTTGTTCATTGAATCAACCAGTTGGCTACTTTAAACATCACTCTAGTGGGGAACTGTTGAAATAACCAATTAAGCTGCTATATTTTATGAAAAACTACCTTTTTAGCCAAAATACGGAAACTTGATTGGTTATTACAGCAGTTGTCAGGTGGCCTTTATGAAGTACCCCCAATCAACATATAGAACATGCAACCGGAATAACTCATCATATGTTGCAGGTATATGGAAAATTTTAATACTATTAAAACGAAAGGAATGACGAAGAAGTGTTGGACTACATGAAGGAGAGTGCGTTTCAAGGTCACTCCAGCAACTAGTGAAATGACGAATCAGTACATCGCCTGGAAAAGTACTTTTCCATAAAGAAAGGAATATACTTGGCTATCTTATCACGTGCTAGGGAGACCTTTAAAGTCAGCTTCAGGAAGCTTCAAAGTCGTATAATTACTTTGATATATGAAGAACAAATTCTGTTGGAAATGTCATCTAGTAAATAATACTGTATCACTGTGGCCTATATAAAATAAACAATTGAATATATATTTATGATAAATAGTAGCTAGCAGTAGAATTCAGGACGTACATCTTGTACTATTTGGGACTCATTGGCCAGTTGAATGTACCTGCCCCCTAGTGAGTGGTATTATTTCCACTAGGATTCAAATTCAGGAGCGATCGCTTCAAACACCGCAGCCGAGCCATAATAGCCACTTCTTGTACGATGAGTTGTTGACGAGTCCTAAATAGGACGAAATATGTATCCTAGATTCCACTGTTAGCCACTATTCATCAAAAATATATAATTGAAACACAAGTAATATCAAGGCATATGAGCACGAGCCCATGTACCAATAGAAATGGATCAGTTTCGTCCAGTTAACGATAGGATAATACAAGCAATAACATTAAAATCGAATATGTTGTATAAATTCATATGCTAAATGAAACTAATTGTAAATCGGTCAAATTTCGATAAATCCATTCAAGTATAAATAACTGCTAGGTTTTTTATGACGGTAGAAAGAATCAAAGAGAGAATCATAAGTTTTCAATTTACCAAAAAGGAAATGATTAGATGAACAATCCTTTATATCATATGACTGTCTTACTGTAAAACATTGAATCTCATCTAAACTTATAAACTACCTCCAAAGTAAAAAGGTTGAATAGTTCTTCGATTCACGGATATTTTCAACATTTTTATGAAACAATCTTATAACTTTCAAATCTTATACCGTGTATTCTGATATTAAGCTGTCGTGATACTTTTATTATTATTATTATCATTATCATTATTATTTAGAGGTAGTATTCATTACGGACTGACATTACTTAGGGAACTATTGGAAATCTGGGAGCACTGGACAGCTGTTTCGTTCTAGTATGGGACTCCTGAGCAGTACGCACCCACGACTCTGCTAGGGATTGAACTTAGGACTTTCAGTTTTCATGGCGAACATACTAGGTATTCTGTTATTGGGGGTGGGGGAGTTCAATGTTTCACAGTTTCGAACTTCCATCAATTCACGATACAGGGCGACTGTCACCCAAAGTCTCACGTTGGCCTCAGCTCTCATTCTAACTGGTTGACCCAAGAGGTCACACGTTCTAATTAGAACTTCATGATATATTACTGCATAGTGCCCATAAGTGAATTGCTTCTAGATGGATATCACGCAGTTCTAATGAGAAGCTAGGACTTGTGAGGTCAATCAATCGGAAGGGAAGCAGATGCCAAGTGAAGACCCTGGGTCATAGTCACACCATATCATGAATTGACAGAAGTTGGAAACTATGAACCACTGAAAACCGACCCAGTGGCTGAATGCTTAACGCGTTCGCCGTGACACCTGAAAGTCCTGAGTTCGATCCCTAGCCAAGTTGTAGGTGCTTGTTGTTGAGTCGTCACATACTACAATGAAACTGCTGCCCACTACTCACAGATTTTCAATGGTTCCGCAACTGATATCAGTCCATGATGAATACTACCTCTAAAAATCCTAATTCACCTCAAAACCACATTATTATTATTATTATTATTATTAACTTACAATACCAAGATATAGGATACAGTGATCAGTTCACTTCAGTTCAGAACTGACTGACATAACAGATTATAAACTCATTCGAACTTTAAATGAGAAGGTAGACGAAGATATTATATTTATATACATGTGATTACCTGACCATGAAGTAAAGCTTTCTGTTCTTCAGCTTTCTTTTGTTTCCAACGCCGAAACCATTCTTGTATTAAAAATGTTGCATAAAATTTACCAACTGTCACATCATTATTACCTATGCATAGAGTAGATAATAGGTGTATCAAAATACAAAAAAGTTGAAAATTAATCAAAGTAATCAGTAAGGATAATAATTATTAATTGTTTTACAATTTATGAAGAAAACGAAAAAGGAAGTAATGTAAACTCTACAAATGTGTAACAGATTTACATAACTTTATAAACTTCATTTTACTGACACCGTGAAATTCTCTAGGCAACAACTAACCAGTGTTGATTTCATTAACTTAAGAAAATGTACAGCACTGGCCTAATGTTATATGATGCTTCTTTTCAGACTAGCAAGAAATTATACTAGATATTATAGATGACAACACATAGAGTCTTTCACAACACACACACACACACACACAAGGAGGAAATCGATTGAAATGATAATTTATTTTGATAAACCGAAAGGTTGGCGGGAGAAAGAAGACAATGGAATGATTACTAAGGGAACTAAGAAATCATTTAGAACTAGATGGTGCATTGCAAGTGAGATCATCACACAACACATAAAAAGAGTCTTGCATTAAGCGTAACCAGCTGCTAAATTATGTCCCACCATTCACAACCTCCCGATTCTAAGTACAAGAAATAAAGAAAAACTGCCTGATTCTGTCACTTCTATGTGCATTTATCAATTCAACTGCTCCTATGGAGATAGTTACATTGAGCGTACAGTGAGACAGCTCCATCGTCGAATTTCTGAGCACTACCCATCATGGTTGAACAAGGGACAAATTAGAACTATAGAGAGCTCCATGTTTGCGCACTTAGTTGACACATGACATCAAATTGACACTAGAAAAACCTTCAAAATCATTTATCAGATTCCAATTAATTTACCACATGGATTAAGCACTCGGTTACTTCACACCTTGAGAAACCTACTCTTTGTATCCAAAAAAGTTTGTTCGATCACTTTCATTACCGTTGCAGTCAACATGATGTAACTTCTTGGTTTACTTTGTTACACCTCTTCCCCTTTGTTCCTATCATTATTCATTTACTTTCTTGTTATTACGTAATCGCTCATTGTCGATGACTGAATACTCATCAAAATTCACTCTATTTACCTGAGAATAGCTTTTTTCATATTTCCTATTTTAGTAACTCTATTGATTATTTACATGATTATTTCCGAAACATCACCACATGATTGGTAATTTGATTAAATTGTAAAATTATGCATATTAGTTTAGAGCCCTAAGATGAAGACCTAATTGAAAAGGAATATACATTTCTTCGCTGACTCAATCAGTCTTGCTTCAAAATGTCTAAATAGGAATATTAAATGTATTAAAAATAAAATAGTGAAGCTATCCATATCAATTTTTAGTAACACACATCTTAAGAGTCTCAAAATCTAAATACAAGTAATTCATGAACATGAGCTTAGCAGCTATAATCTCAGAATTGTGTGCTAAGTGTTTCTACCGCAAGTGATCAATGCTGTGTAGTTTCTCTTAATTTAATTTAGCGAATAAATTTGAAACCAACATTAGTGATAAACAAATACTTATTAAGGAATCACTGTAAAGCTATAGAAGATTTTGTGGAAGTTTCTTTTGAGTTTCAGATTTCTGTGTAGTGCTCTAACCAAAGATGAATATATTACAACTTAAATATTCTCACTGTGATAATTAGAAGACAGAGTTTGAACGAGTAAATTCTCATCAGGTTTTTATTTACATTTACAAATTGTTTACAGCATAGCCTTCATTTGATATCAACATGGTTAAATTAATTCGGCTGTATGAATTACAAACCTCACTTGCTTAACTAGTTCACTAGCTTACTATCCGGTCCTAAGCCCAGATAAACAGGGAACGTTGGGCACAGAGCTAGCAACCCTAACCCGGAAAACCAATCCAATCCCTAAACAAACTTCAAACCGCAAAGAAATTATAAAAAATAAAAACAAACTTATTCCTTGGTGGAATCAGAGTGACGAAATGACGCCGGTTGGTGAAATCCTTCGGGAAACCAGTCGGCCGATGTGTCTTCATTCTTTCGATGAGAGCGAAAGTAAACATGGCGACATGGAATGTTAGCACTATGACATGGAAGTTCTTGGAATCTACGAAAGTAGATGGAATGGAAGTTGAGTCTCCAAACTGTCAACTGAAGAGTTAGTAATCTACTCCGACACTGTCACCCACACGACAACCACGAGCAAACTGAGATTTGGAGTGGCTATCATGACGTCTCCAAGAACATCGAAGGCTCTCATGCAGTGGGAACCAATCTCCTCCAGGATCATGACAGCAAGATTCAACTCAAGAGGAAGGAAAGTCACAATCATTCACTACTACATGCCAACAAACAATGCAGATGAAGAGAAGAAGGAGGAATTCTACAGACAATTGCAATCAGTACTAGACAAGACTCTAGTTGGCGACATCGAAATTCCAATAGGCATGGTGACATGTATGCCAAATTGGGAGCAGGCAACACAGGAAGGGAACTTATCATGGGCCGAGAAGCACTGGGTGAAATGAATGAGAATGGAAAACTGTTTGCAGATTTCTGCGCATTTAACGATTCGGTGATTGGAGGCAAGGCAGTATGTACAAATACAAGGATATTTACAGAGCGATATGGATTTCACCAGATGGACACGCTAAACATCAGATCGACTTCATCTCAATGTGAAGAAACTGGAGATGCAGACTACTGGACACAAGATCAAGAAGAGGAACAGAAGTAGTTTTAGACTACTATCTTCTGCAAGGTACCTTCCAAATTAAGTTGAAAGCCTTCAAAGAAGTTGGTGATACACCATATTTCAAGCTCAACACTCAGAACAGAAAGTGAAATACAAAATATCTTCACGTCAGACAGCCATCAGGAAAAATGGGAGACACTGAGCAACATCTCTGAATAAACCTGCTTGGAAGAACACTGGAACTCTTTGAAAGCTATGTGGAAAGAAACCTGCACAACCGTACTAGGAAGAAAAAGGAAAAAAGATAAGACAAGTAATGGATCTCGATGGACACATGGAAGCTGATAGAGCAGGGAGAGGAAGATGTTGAAGCAGAAGATGAACCAGTGCAAAGATGAACAACTAAAAGGAGAACTGAGTACAACGTGTAAAACACTGTACACATGTATGACACATTGGCAAGTGAAGCACAACATGCTGCTGGTAGGAGAGACCTGATAAAATTATGTTAAGTAACCAGGAAGAGATAAACGCGATGAGGCCAATGAAATATAGTGAAGGAAAGCTAGTTACCAAAACAGGAAACAAAGAAAACAGTGGGGTGACCACTTCAAAAGCTTTTGAATCTACCATCACCTGCAAATCGTCCAGAAATACCACCAGCAACGGTACAACTACAAGTAAACACAGGCCCCCGACAAAAGCAGAAGTCCTGAATGCCATAAAACTGCTGAAATTCGGGAAACCAGCAGCACCAGATGGAATTCATCCAGAAGCACTGAATACAGATGCAGAGAGAACAACAGACATGCTCACACCACTACTACAGAAGGTTTGGAAGGAAGAATGGAAGGAAGCAAAGGTACCTACCTGCATATAGATCGGAAGAAGTGCTACCTTGTCAAACTCCCAAAGAAGGGAAACCTAAGTCTTCGCGAGAACTGGAGAGGAATCATGCTCCTGCGCCCCCCCCCCGGCAAGCAAAATATATTTCCCCATCATCATGGAAAGACTAAAGGATGAGCTGGATTCAAAATTACAACCAGAACAGGCTGGCTATGTTCGGGAAGAACAAATCATGTGTGGATCAATTTGCAACACTACGCATCATCATTGAACGCAGTATTGAATGGCAGTCAACTCTCTACCTCAATTTCATCGACTTTAAAAAAGCCTTTGACAGCGTATCCCGAGAAGTAATTTGGCAGGCAGTTGCTTCAACACTACGGAGTACCACAAATTTTATCAACCTCATTCCACAACAGCTATATGAAAACGCCACATGCCAAAAGATTCACAATGGAAAGCTCAGTGATGGCTTTGAAGTGAAGACAGGAGTAAGACAAAGCTTCCACCTACTGTCACCCGTGATATCTCTGATCGTGATGGACGGAATCAAGCAGCAAAACGTGAGGAGTTAGAAGATGGGCATAGACATTCTAACCGATGAAAAAACAAAGATCCAAGAAGGAGATTTGGATTTCGCCGATGATGATGCATGTCAAATGTCTTGTCGCACAAACTCCAAGATCTACAGGTGAAAAACAACAAGTTGACAGAAGAGGAAGGGCAGCGAAAACAGGACTTCAAGTGGATGTAGAGAAGATGAAGGTCAGGAGGATACCTAACCAACAACAACAACAACAACAACAACAACAGCAACCACTAGTCACCATTAACAAGAGTAACCTGAATGAAGTAGTCTCTTCCACCTACTACCTAGGCAGCATCCTTTCAACTACAGGCGGCAAAGGCACACATGAGGATGTCAAAGTCAGCCAGCGTCAGAATGGCACCAAGACAGGCTTTCCTTCATCAATCTGAAATCAGTGTGGAGATCTACTGCACTCCACTCAGTAGAAAGCATGAACAACATCCGGATTCGGATTTTCAACACCAACATCAGTCAAGTCAGTGCCTCTGTGTGATGGATGAGAAACTCGGCGTGTCATGAAAAGCACTTCCAACAAACTACAGACATTCATCAACAGCTGCCACCTACACTCACTCGATACTGAAGATGGAGATCAGATGGATGGCTAGAATGATAAGAATAAGCAGTTAGGAATTCTGGCCTGTTGACGAACCAACCAAGAAGCTATCACCCAACAGATGTGAAGGTGAAAGTGAAGATGGATTGGGCATGCACTGAGAAGGCCGACTGGGGACATGAGGTGCCAGTGTAGTTAGGTAGTCGAGTGGAATGCAGAGAGGAAACGACGAGTTTGGCTTCCGATGCGAGGGCGATATTGGAGTAGATCATGTGAGGAAGAGATGAAAGGTTGTGGGCAGTCGTGGTGCGAATTTGAAGAGACTGTGGAGAACACAGTGAAATGGAGGTG